TGATTTTTATTATGTCTATTATTGACGTCATAGTCGCAAACTCTTAAATATTTTCTCTATGATATTTAATATGTATAAAAATTAAAATCAAAAATCTTAAATTACAAAATTTGACATTAATTACAAATACCAACAATAGCGTCTAAGTATTCCGTTGCTTTTCCGATTCAAAATTTAAAAAATAACTGAACATAACTTTCAGACTTACAATTAAAATTTGAATTACGATAAGTGAATTTTGAAACATAATAAAAATTATATACGTATGGTCTATCTTGTTTCCAGACCTTTTATAGTCTTCAGAGGCCACATCGTTACTCCGAAAGTATGAGAAATACGGCGATACAGGAAAGTTGCATTTAAGAAGAAAATTTCACAGAATCGTACATTAAGTAACTAAGTGGCTTATTGATACTGCCAAAACACGATTCGTGAAATATGAATTTCCCGTACGGAGCCCGATCATCGAATCACGTCCAGCAGGGTAAACGGATTTTCCGATATATAAATGGATTCCGAAGTTAAAAATAAAAAGAAAGAAAAAAGTCGACGAGAGAGGTGAAGACAAGTGGAAAATACCAAATCATGCTTACAACATGTTGTACACGTTCGACCGTACGAAAACATTTATAACCATTCACTATGCATTTGTAAATATTGTATATAAATAAAAAACACATCAATTTCGTGTTACGACCGAGATGCCTATATTTGATTAACCCAATTTTCTTTTTTATCGCTTATTTAAAAAGAATAATAATGTTATTGTCTTGTTAAATTATTATACTTTTGTTTTGTTATTATAAAAATCTAGATATATTTGAAAATATTTCTGAAATATGATCATCAAAATGATAATAATACTATTCATGTAGTATCATGTACGTTCAAAATCGGTAGTAAAATATTTTAACGAATATTTCAAAAGGAGATCGTTATCCGGGAAAGCTTTGTCGCACGACAAACGATGTAATTTAAGAAACCAAACGTCGCATATCCGTAGAAAGATTCCACAGTCGTCACCGCTAAAATGTGGGACGAGAAAAGTACAAGATTTATCTTGGCCTCCTTTCGTAACGATCTTTGTTTCAGGGCGCGTAAATCTTCGCGTTGTTAGATACATTTCGCGAGACATCGTGGCGAGCCCTTCACTTCCTCTTTCATGACTCCTCGGCCTCATTTCGCTCGTATTCATCCTTATTTTTTTCCTATCTCTTCCCTGTTTCGTTCTCATTCCTAGCAAATGGCCTACCCCAAGTTATTCCTAACTAGGTAATATACCTCGATCGGAACACGTAATCGGACATCCGAACTTTTTCGACCATTTTTTATTTTTTTTTTTTTGTCAAATTTTTGAACGCTAAAAAGCCATACGTACGATCGTTATTTCAAACTTTTCCAACTCGTTAGCAAAACTTTTATAACGAACTTTTATTACGATAAATCGACTCGCATTCTTAAATAAATACGATTAAGAGAATTGGAGAAAAGTTTCTGACAAAAAAAAAACTATTTTAAATATTATTAGCAAAAATTGATTTTTGATTAGAGTATCATTATATAATACTATGCAATTAATGCTATTTAATCAAGATTCAAGAATGAACAAATAAATAGGTATATTTTCCTCATTTCAAAAATAGTATATAAAGTATATACCTACATAACTACATGTATTACTATATATCTAATATGTAGAATCATAAGTCATAGATACGTAGATACTTGGAAGTAATGCTTACGATATTGAACGATAAAAAAGAAAGAAAGAAGAGCAGAGAAAAGTAGCGGATGGTAAATGGCTGAGAAAGAGGACTTTACTTGTGGTGCTTTACCTACGAGCTACGTGCAGACGTTCCGAGAATCCCCTTAACGTCTTCGCAGGCTGAAACTTTTATGATTTCACGTTCGAGCACGCCCGTTTACGATCCACGAGTAGAAACGAACGAGCGTGGAATTTCCATGTAGAACTGCAACACTGTAGCTGCTTTTACCGGTTGCATATACCCTTGTCTAAACCGCACGAGATTCTTACCTTCTTTCGAGAAATCAACCAACCGATTTAACCGCCAACCAAAAATCTCGTCTCTTTCTATCGACTTTCTCCTCGTATACTTTAAGATACCGGATAAAGCAGGAAACATTTGAGAAATATAACCTTTCTCAAATCCTCGAATACCCACCCATCCGCTTTAGAATAAAACTTTTGCTTTTTCGTTTACTACCTTACTTACTTCACGCAAATTAGCACGCTTTTACTTTTTATAAGTCTTTTTAAGGTCTTTTCTTTTCTTCTAGCATCTATATTCTTTTCTAACTAATACGCTTTTCTTTCTTTTTCGTTTCATCCTAATGCAGGAACTTTTTTCGTACAATTGCAAATGCATCCTCGTGAATAATGATTACGCTTTGTTTACCGAAAGCACCATTTTTCCTGCTCTTTTTTTTTCGTCGAGAGCAACACAGACAAATAACTATAAAAATATCTAATTTACTTATTGTAAAGCTTAGAGGACCATCGTTACAACAAAAAATTCTGATAAAATTCTGATAATTTTACGAATAAGATATTATTCGTAAACTGATATGTTTTTCTCACGTTTAATTTTATATCGATCTCAGTACTTAAATATTTAATTTCAAACAGGTAACAAAATTATAAGTATATTTAAAAAGCATTTAAAACTTGACACGAACCTACATACATTACAAACAAGATGGATCGATTTACTGAGTAAATGTTCTAAATATCCTCCCTCCACCTTATATCTATATAATTATCTCATTATTATTTTAATTAATAATATATAATATACTTTACTAAGATCATTACAAATTAATATATACATACATTCATTTTAATTTTATATGGTAATATTCTTATAATAATGAAAATACAATTTCACAATGGAACAGCTAGTAATGAGAAATATATTCAGCTATGCCTTAAAAAAGAGAACGTTTTCAACATTTAATGAAAAGCTATCTCCTAAATCTTCTAAACAAAAATTATACACCTACGACACAGTATACAATCACTGAATCATCTTTATTAAAAAAAATAAATAAATTTAAAAATAGTATTGGTTTTATATGAATTACCTTACAAATACAACAAATAACATTGCTAACTAATAGTAAAAAAGCAATACATTCCTATTACTTCTTTGCTAATCACGAAAGCACTTTCTAGATTCCTTTATTACCATTTTCAGATAAAAAATGATGTTATTGACAATCGATCGAAAAGAAACATAAAAAAGATATAAAATATGTTAATAAATACTGATTTTTACCGATGTTGCTACAGCACCACGAAAAGAAGTTCCTGATAAAGCAAGTTAGAAGTGAAACCTTCAAATAAACAAGTTTCGAAAATAATTTATTATGTAATATTATTATAATATTATTTATACTTTTAATTTGTAATTATTTATTTAATTATTAATTTAATTATAAAAATGCGTTCCTGTATTAATGCTACCTTCCAGACACACTTTGAAAATGTTGCTTGCGAGCGCCATCTGTTGAAAAGGAATTTTTTCTGCCCGAAAAATAGGCAACCCGTCATACATACGTGTATAAAGAGTTTTGACTGAAAAAAAATTCTGTCCCATTAGATGGCGCTCGCAAGCAACATTTTCAAAGTGTGTCTGGAAGGTTGCATTAATACAGGCGCGCATTTTTATAATTAAATTAATAATTAAATAAATAATTACAAATGAAAAGTACAAATAATATTATAATAATATTATATACTAGATTATCCTCGAAACTTGTTTATTTGAAGGTTTTATTTCTAACTTGTATGATATGCACACATGATTTTTTTTTATTTTATAGCTATTGTACTTAATATTATACATATTATACAGTATTATGCAATCTAAATTATCTCGGTTCTATATCTTGTCTACCTCAATGTTTCAAAGATTTGAGAAATTGAGTTAAGCCTACTAACCTAATAAACTACAAAAAACACCGATGTAATAAGTAGCGATATGGTAGAGACCTATATTACCCTGTTATTGTAGTTCATAATTTGTCCAAACTTTTCTCTAATCTTACGTATGCACAAAAAGTGATAACCAAACTTAATAAAAAATATTTATTATTATTTTAGTCCTTTTATGTAGTTTTATATGAAACAAATAAATTAACCAATCAATTCGCGGTAAAAGGATCACGTGATTAATCGATTTCGGGTTTACTACAATAAGATTCGATAATGCGCCATCTATTAAAACTCGTTTTGTTAATAGTGAAGTAAACCAAGAGCACAAGTAATTTTATGAATGTTTTTTTTTAGTTAAGAATAAAGATAAACATTTCTTTAAACTATATTCTTGTTAATATAGCCATAATTAAAAAGAAAACTTAACAATTCGAAGAAATTATCATTTGATATAAATATTTGTGAGACTACAGTGTAGATAGTAATAAAAGTATCAAAAGACTTTAGAAGATATCAAGTGTTTTTTATTCACATATGATAAAATACTCATTCCCAAAATGTTGAAAGCTTTAGTACGTTGTATATAATTACAATATCATTTAAATGCATTAACTATTATAATAAATATTAATTATTTTTTCAGATAAGTTTTGGCCTTGGTGTCTATACTGGATTATATTTAAATCAGAATTATGAAGTATGATAGCAATTAATATAAAATATAATTATCCAATGAATAATAACCAGCATTGATATTATATATTATATTAAAATGATTTAAAATTATTTTATTTAACATTGTAGATTCCAAAAGTAGATGATCCATCTAAGATACTAGAGAGATTAAAAGAAATTGCCGATGATTATAGGAAGAAATAAACTTAATATTAGCAAATATACTATATGCTAAACATAACAATATGTAATATTGGTAATTCATAATAATATAGATATATCTGTATAGATATAAACTTATCTTTTTTTATAAATACTTTTGAATCATGCTATATTAAATAAATTACTTAAATAAGACTAATAGATTATTTATTTAAATAAACATTTTAAAATTACAATATTATTTTGCATATGTATGTAATATTAGATATATATAAATCCTCCACCGGAATATTCTACTCTTGCTTGTGGTTCTACAAATGCCAGCCAATCCGACGCGTGTGTTGGTAATAAACCCATAGATTGACATTTATATAATGCTAAAGCGATGTTTACTAATTGTCCAAAAAAGTAAACAAATTTTTGACCAAATGCGTGTGTTCCTTCTATTACCTTAAATGCTACAAATATACATACAATGTAATGTATATATGCTAACATTTATCTTTATTAAAAGTAATTAGTTTATTTCCTATTATATTTCTTAAAAAACTTACTTTGTTGTAATGTGAAGAGCGCTTTGACTGGCCTAATAATTAACATACCAACCATCATAATAGGAAATATGGAAATAGAATTACCAGCCATATACATTATAAATAAATTCATTGGAACTTGCTTGAGAGGTCCCAAAGCTAAATCCCATGATTTTTTAATTATTAAATGATTTGAATCTGTTTCTCTGAGATATTCTACGCTTTGAAATAATGCTACTGAAGGAGTATAACCTGGAGGTGATGGTATATCCGTATTTTTCTCCTGTTTATTCCTGGTAACGTATCAAGGTATATGTTCATTAATTTATTAAGAAATTAAAACATTTGCTAAAATATCTAATTCAAAATAATAATAAAAAAGACAATTTATCTATGTCTTCATTACTTTCCCTTTTACAGGTTTGAGGACATTTAAAAAAACGTAAATATAAAAATGTCATCAAATAAAATATTTATACTTTCCAAACGTAATCACTATTATTCTTATTCTAAAAATGAATAAAATATAAAGAAAAAATAGAATAAAGTTGAGAATTTATCTTAAAATTGTATGATTTACATTGTCATGTACTATATATTATTATTCGTAATAAAAAATATAAATCGAAAAATTAGGTTACATACTTGTGAGAAAAGTCTAATGCCCATTTAGACTTTTTAAAATTCTGTTTGGTAGTTGCCATTATTTCTTATTATCTTTATCAAATGTTAAAATATCCTTAGTAAAATAGAATATAATTAATTTATAATTAAATAACCTATAGAATGATAGAACGTAAAGTTCAATTGATAACAAATGGTAGTAAACTATAGAACAACCATTACATATGAGTACATTGATTGGACAACTGATGTATTTATATAAACTGAACTATCATCGTGATACGAATTAATATAATAAATTTAAAATACACATTCACATTTAATCTCTTAATGATATTTCAATATAAAACTTTACGCAGTTACATTATTTGAAATAAACAGAAATAAAAGTAAAGATATTGCTTCAACTTGCAATTGATGCAAGGTCAGTTTCCATGAACTAAATCTAATCCTTAACAAATATTTCTTACATATTAAACCTCAATTTTGTATTTATATATACATGTATATATTAATTTATATAATAATTATATTAATATATAAAATCTATTAATCGTTTCAATATATATATATATAATTATAGACTACAGACTATAGACTAGATATATATATATATATATATAGACATATATTTTTAGGAAGAAAAATAATGAATCATTATTTAGAAATATGCTTATGATTTATTTATTGTCAAGTAACAAAATTTAATTTGTATAATTTAATAAATATTAATTTAGCATTACTGCACAAATGCTATTATTATTATAAACAATATTACTAATCTATTTTACATTCATTGGACTTTACCATCATTATATGAAATCATACACAAAAACCGTGATAATTTCACAGTATAATCTAGTTTTATATAAAGAAAAAAATGCTTATTTATAAATATTTCTCTCCAATTAGTTATTTTAGTGAGCGTATGCATAAATTACTGCATAATTTAACTGTTATTTATCACTTTATTCAATTTTACTGTAACGTTAAATGTAACTTGTCAAATAAAAGAATAGAAGAAAAAAGTCCAAATATAAGAACGGATATACAGGAGGTTTCCATGATATATATAAATGTGGATTCATTAATAACACCAACTTCCAATATTTAGTTGGAATATTTTGCATTATTTTATACAATTTGTTCACACGATAAATCAGAGAGATCAAATAATAAATCAGCCTTGATTAAGACCAGGTCCATGTAATTCTATAAAACTTTCCAAGATACGTGGTACATGGCCACAATAAGATAAGTTATATGTTTTCACCGCTTTTGCTGCCATACATTTTAAAGACAATTTTGTATGAGTACGCAGTAATATTTCGGCCACACCTAAAGAAAAATTATAAATATTTTCTAATATAATAGATATATATAACATATTAAAGAAAAAGAACAAAATATAGAATAACAAATAATAGGAATATAAAAGTAGATAAGCAAGAATGTAAGAGTAGAATAGGAGGTAATAACTAATCAATATAAAATAATATAAAAACAATATGATGGTTGCGGTGATTCTCACTGCTGCTTCAAGTATTCGATGTTACTCTCAATGCTTTCAGTAATACACTGTTCTTAGGTTTCACTGGCTAGCCTGTCCCTGGGCAGTCCTTTTCTATGATACTTTCTATATACATAAGATACATCATAGGATGGCCTATCGTAGGCTATGCCTAAAATAAACACGGACAAGGGTTTTATGATTTCTAAATGCATCAATACTTAACAATAGGACAGACTACCCTTGTGCGCACTTAATAACAGAGAGAGTCTTTATCTCTCAGATATCCTTTTAATTTTTTCGAATTTCTAAGAATAGTATAAACGATAAAGAAAAGGACGTTGTTTTTTGAATATCTTACAGAGCAATATAGTAAAAAATGGTGTTAAAGATAGCCAGAAACTAAAAATTTTAGCAAGGGTAAGATATGGAAATGTTTACATCGGAAATAAATACTGATTAGATGTAAACTAATAAGATAATATATCTAAGATATAATAGATGTAAACGAATAGAATATATAACTTTAGAGTCAGGGACCTTAGAACATTTAATAAATATCTGTGATAAAATGAAATCAAAATTTACATTAGAATATCTACTAGATCAATTAGGAACTCCAGGAATAATAGAGTTGTTAAGAAATATAGTTTAAAAAACGAAAGAAAATAGGAACGCTTATTGTAAGTTTAGGAGTAAGCATGAAAGCAGTATGAGAGTTTTAATAGTTTATATTATATAAAGTGATATTTTTAGTCTATTTATATATTAAATTTATACATAATTAATAGCTGTTAAAATTATTATATTATTCATGCACAATAGTACTTTGAGAATAACATACCCGTTGCTACAGATTCATATGGAGTCTTTCCATTACTATTTACAGCATCTATATGTGCACCAGCCTCAATTAATTCCATAATTATCAAATAAAGTGTCATAAAATCACTAATAACAATATAAATTAATGAATCAGTTTTTAAGACAATTGTATAATAAAAAAATATAATATTTTATATATATATATATATAATCGTACTTAGTAACTCTCCTATAGCAAACAATAACATGAAGTGGAGTATTTCTTTCGTCATCCATTGCATTAACATTTGCACCACATTGTATTAATAACTTAGCTGTATCTGCACATGGAAATCTATAAAATACAATATTCGAATTATTTAATAAGTAATTAAACATCTTTCTAATTAAATATATTACTGTATAAAAGAAAACTTACTTGCACACATCATCGGTATGAAAATCATCAACCGGTGTTTCAGAATTAACAGCAAGATGCAGAAATGTTTGACCATCCCTCATTTTAACTTTTAATGCACATAATTTGTGTACCAAATAACGAGCTTTAGAAACGTCAGCTTCGTTATAATATTTTTCATTTAATGTTATTAACTTACTTAAAATTGTTAAAATATATAAAGTTGTCGTAATGTTTGATTCCATCTCTTCCTAAATAGATAACTTTAGATTTACATAAGTGCTTTAAATTGAAATAATTAAGAAAAATAAATTAATTAATTACTTTTGTTATACCTACCATATATTGATCAATGCCATCTATGGGATCTGGATTTTGTATTTTATTTTTATTACGTCCCAATTCTGTAACACATGCTTCTAATACATTTATAACTTGAGAAAAATCAGGATCTACTCCAACATGAATCATTTGAGAAAAAACCTATAAATTATTAAGAAGTTTACATTTCATATATTCTGAATATTATTTTCTAATAGATGTCCATCTGTCTATTTAAATTCACCAACCTGTGCAAATCGAAGAAGATCTTTCACAGCAGATATATTATGTAATTGTCTTAATTTTAAGGCATGAAGCCATAAATCAATACATCTATCAAACCTTGCATTATCTGCAAAAACAGCACCCCTAAATATTATAGGATGTGGTAATTCTGGACTGTCAGGTCCTATAATATAAATATTTATTTAACATCATTATTTTCAGAAAATGAAATATATATATATATATATATATATATATATTTTTTTTTAATTACCCAGTATTCTTTCTCGAATTGCAAGAGATTCCATATGAAGCGAATTGGGATTATTCTTAATATTTTCTAATTTTTCTAATGTATCACATTCTCTCCAATGTTCATATGCTTTCACTGTTTCACCTAATTCTTTATGTACAATATCATTAGGATCGCTATATCTATAGTTATACATAAAAAAATAATAAATTAAATTGAAAAGAAATAAATTTTGGAAAAGGTCGGATTAAAAAATATTTTATATACCTTAACTCCATTGCTTTATGTAAATATGTATATGCTAATGTCAAGTTGTACAAATCTTTGTCATTTGCGTAAGATGCCCCAAGTAATTCATAAGCATCAATTACTTCTCTTTTCGTTACCTCTGTACGAGCTGCTAAAAACTCTACTACGGATGTACACGTTCGTTCAGCAGCAGCTATCAGAGGAGTCATACCACTGACATTTTTTGTTATTTTTGTACCATAACTTAATAATTCAGAAACTATTTGTGTATGACCACACTCAGCTGCAAAATGTAACGCTGTTCTACCACAAAGTGCTTTTTCATTAGGGTCTGCATTATTTTTTAAAAGGAAATTAACCTGCAGCATACGTATGCATAATATGTAACACATTGGTATTTATGAATTATGTAATTTAAATTATTTATTAAAATATACTAACCACATCCAAATGTCCATTGTTTGCTGCAATCATCAAACAGGTATTATTGAATTTATTAGATATATGTATGTTTGCACCATGGTCTATTAAATATTTAACAATATCCAACCGTCCTTCAAAACATGCAGCTCGAAGAGGAGTTGAATTAGTCTTTGTCGGATGATTCACATCTGCTCCAGCTTTAACAAGAGTTTTAACAGTTTTCAAATGACCTGCCCCTGAAAAATGAAATATATAATAATTAATTTTTTTCAGCTTATTAGAATGCGTTTATATTTGTGTTAAACTTTTTGTTATTAATAAAGAAATTGAATAAAGCAGAGAGAAAAAAGTTTTGGTTATATTGAAATATATTAATCAAGATTAAAGTATTATCATACCTTCTTGAATACAATAACACCCTATGACTTCATCAATAGAGCCTTTCAGACAGCGGCTTCAACTAATTACTTGCAAAAAGCCATTTAAGTGCTTTCAGGAAGTATCGTTTGCCATGTTTTCCCATTTTTATCCTGAAACTGTACAGTATGCTACATTGGGTGAACATAGAAAAAAAAAGGATAATAAATAAAACATTTAATAAAAAATGCCACGATTTGTTATAACAATATACTTTTATCGTTTAATAATATGTAAAAATAAAAAAAAAACTTTATTTTATATATATTTATGCATGTGTGCATCACAATATTAAAGGAATAATACTTAAAAATATATCTATGAGAAATATCACCGTTATATTGTGCAAAATCATATATATGTGGCATTAATTTATATTATTGTATTTATAGCTGTAAAATATATAGTATACTGTACAATGTTTCAGTAAGAAATGGAAAAATCAGGGCTTCTACGTACTTGTTAAATTTAAATTTAAATAAATGTATGAAAAGTTATTTATCAGTTAATAAAACGATCAAACTTTTTTTTTATACTCTTGCATTATAACATTTAGTTCGATAATAGAAATTAATTATTAAGTGTATTTATTATATGTTGATTAATTAGTTAAAAAAAATTTATATATATATATATACATATATATATATATTTACAAACTTTCTACGATCACTGAAATTTACAATAATATAAATAGAAATTAATGAAATATTAAATGATACAATATAATACCTGCAGCACACCAAAGGGCAGTTGCTCCATCAATAACATATCCATCAAATTTGACAATTCCTTCTTGTTCAAGGTCAGGCTTAAATTTATCAATTAATGTCTTGACAACCCTGACATGTCCATATCGTGCTGCGATTATTAACAATGTACACTTTTGTCCATCTTCCAAAACTTTCTATAATTGTTTTGTTAAAATAATCATCAAAGTTATTATTACATATAGATGATTTAGAATATATAGAACATATATTTATTAATAATTTCATTATTCCATAAATAAAGATATATAATGAAATATTAGAATTTTTATGATATATACGTATATACATTTTATGAACATTTATAATCATTATTTGGATAAAATATTATAAACATATACCTGATTAATAAGATAATCAATTTTTCCTGGTGGTTTATCACTAAGAAGACCATATAATACAATAGCCATTCCATCTCGTGCAGCGTAATATAGTCTTGTAATCAAAGATAAAGAAATTTCAGTATCTTCTTGTGCAATCTCAGTAGAACTCATGTTCGTTAATTTTTTAGAACTCATTAAACCTAATTTGTTTTTTCCTTTCTAATAATGTAATTAAAATATCACTGGAGTTATTCTTTTTTTTTTCTTTTTTCTTTTCTTAACAACGTAGAACCGTAACCTCAAAGCTCCTACGATTGTTTCTGTTTATGAGAAGAATCAACGCACAAGAGAAATACATGGATTAGTTCTACACAGTAAAACTATTTTAAGAACCGTTACACACAAAAATATATCGATCCTAATGTTATAAAAATAGCGATGACTTGCACTTTTGCGATAGAGAATTGGTTTCTCTTTTAACAAAGACCTGATTTGTTGATTGTAAAATAATACACATTAGTACTCATGTTACGCATTAACATTTAAATCCTCGCGAAAACAGAGTACTTAATATTATTTTATTTACTCATTGATATTATTTTAAATATTTGTCGTGCATTCATTTGTTCATTTTCGCGAAAAATTTCATTTAAATGACGCGTTGAAGATTATTTTGAAAATTCCTTCTCAACGTCACCCTTACCACCCGCGACTACTACACGCTCTCTGTACAACACATGTAATGACGCATTAGTCTCTTCAGTTATTTTTTTCTTTTTTTATTTAATCTTCAAATGAAGATACTGCTGGAATGCGTGAAAGATATCTTCAACAACCTGCAATATTTTTGAATTTATTTATTTATTATATATTTTATTAACATTTGTAATGTTCGTTAATAATAATATTTTAAATTACATATACAGCTCTACTCAAATCTACGTTGGTCCATATTTTAAGAATAAAATGTTCGATGTTATGTGTATACATGTTTGTACATGTGTATGCAGTTTTTATATTTATTTTTTATTTTTTTTTTTTTTTTATTATATATAGTCTGTATAATTTCTTGTATGTATGACTAAATTAAAAAAAAAAATCACAAAAGAATACATAAAACTGAGATAGATAAAATATCACAATGTTATATTATAATTAAGAGATAAATCTTATTATTGAATCAATTTAAAATTAATGAAACATGTTTTTTTCATTATTCTTTTCATTAATAAATACTATCACATATGGAATAACTTGTATATATATCGAATATGAAAGATTGAAATTATTAAGTTTTTAATATATTATCGCATATAAATATATGAAAAAGGTAAGAAAAATAAAATAATAATGTAACTTTGATAAATTTAATATAATGCAAATGATTTAAGAAAACAAGAGAAGGTATTAGTAATACAATCATGCTATAAAACTATTTAAGAATGTTTATTCTTAATTATACCGTGAAATTAGCATGTATAATACACATATATTAAATCCGTTAATAGTACTATGCAATTAATATATATTGAAATAATATGAAATATAACTATTTATCTATGTTATCAAGGATTCTACACAAATCACAAATATATATATATATATATATATATATGACAATATAATTTACAATTCAACTTGATAAAGCACTGGTTTCGATATAGCACTCAAATATGAAAATCAAGAGTGTGTAAAAATAATAATAGCGATTTATATATCTTGCATGAATTTTTAAACAAGAAAATTGCAATCATGTATACAATACTCCATTCAAACAAGAATCTTATATTGTAGGAACACTTTCGGCCAATAAATGTACATAATTACAAATTATGAACATACATTGTTTCATGTACATCCATAATTACAATTAATTTGTTAAATTAAAAGTCAATAATTATTAAAATTGACTGACAAAATTATTTGACTACTTTTGCAGTTAAATGTTAATAAATTTCTTTATGGCCAAAGTTAAATTATTTGATAATTTAGTAATAGATTATTACTATGCAAAAACAAATAGTATTTCTTTATTTTAAAAAGAATATTTATCGATAATTCTACCAGAATATTTGGTACCTTTACAGATGTCTATTAAGTAAATATTTTCATTTATTTGCAATTTTTCTTTTCTTTTTTTTTTTTTAATACCTGTGCATTGCAATTATTGTAAGAGATTATACTAATACATAAAAATAAAATATATTTGAACATATTGTGAAAGTTTGCGTGATTATTAAATTACTTATCATTCGAAACTGAAGATCAGTTTATCATGAATTAGTATTAAATGATAAACTATGACCCATCAAATTAATATCTTTGTACATATTTTGATATATGTTTTAACATGTTATTTTAAAAATAGATAATTTCTTAGTGTGTTCTACTCGTACAACACATAAGAAATGATGATCATGTTAAATGCATCATCATATACTTGATCGTTTAATTTATAATTAACAAGTCTATGAAAATGCATTTTAATAAGTTTAATACGTTAATGTTATACTCTACAGCGATAATTCTAACTAGCTACCTGGCTCAAGAAATAACACAACTTGATTTTTCTTGTACATTTCCATCAGCCTTTTCAATTTCAATCAATAATGTGTGAAAAATATCGGCAACGGACTGAAAAATATGAAATAAATTAGAAGGGGCAAAGAAAAAATAATATGAGTAATTTATACTAAATAGAATGTTTTAAATAATTATATGACATTAAATAAACATACCTCATTTTGTTTAGCACTAGTTTCTAAAAATGCTGCATGCCAAGCATCTGCTAACTGTTTACCTTGTGCAGTTGTTATCATTCTGTCTACGTATAAATCAGTTTTATTGCCGACTAGTACGATTGGAACACTAGAATCATTATTATTATTATTATTACTTATAGAAAAACATTGTTATCATTATTTCATGTACAAAAATATTTACGTACTGGACTTTTCCTGTAATGTCAAGTAGCTTATCATAAATAATTTGTACAACTTCAAAACTTTTAGCACTGGTTATACTATAAACCAAAACATAACCATGGATATCCATTGAATATTGAGTTGGAAATATGCTATATTCATCTTGACCCGCAGTATCCACTAATTTAACTTCATAATCTTGGCTATTAACTCGTGTACTTTTAGTAAATGCTATAACAAACAAAATTTCAGATTACACAAGTGTGCACATACATATGCATACATACATAAGCGTACTGTTAATTTATAAAAGAAATTTAAACGAAGATAAATCGTTATATAGATATTTCTTACTATTTTCTATCGTAGGGTCATATGAATCCACGAACTGTCCTTCGACAAATTGTATGCTCAACGACGACTTGCCTGCAAGATTAAATGACCATATTATTCTAAAATTTTATTAAAAAATTAAATTAAATGTAATGTATATTAAATAAATTATCAAAATTATTTCTATACCAATATATAATTAAAATTATGCATCAATATAGTTAATTAACATTTTGTAAAAAGAATATAATCTCTTTTTCTCGTACCTACTGATCTATAGCCCATAATAGCTATTTTCCTCTGTTTGGGTGGCATTCTTTAGCATTTACAAACAGAAATATATTATATATTTTTTGTAAAAAAAAGTGCATGCTCCGGTTAAAACCTGAAAACATAATATAGAATTTTTTGAGTTAAAGTATACGTATTTAGATTTAAACAACTTGTTTCTAAATCTTCATTAATCTCTTACTTTCATAATATATCTAGAAATACTTAGTTCATTTTCCATACTTTTAATTTCTGCACTTTTGACCTAAGATTAATGCAATAATTAATATAATGTTATTAAGTCTAATGACGAAGCAATTTTTGAAGTATTTAATCTCTTTTCCATTCGATTTTTTTGTAGTTATTTTTTTTCTAATTTCTCGCAATCTTCTTCAGTTATAAAAATTAGTAATACATACAAGTCCTAATACAAATATAAATATTGTTGAAATATTTTAATCTTTTAAAATTCATTAAAGGATAAACTATAGATAATTTGACATTAACAATTTATCATAAATATTGAATAATATTTTTCCTAGATCATAAAATTAATTAATTAAATATTACTCTCCTTTTATTGTCATATTTCTATAACTAACTTATAAATAATAGAGATGTATTATAAAAGTATATTTATATGTATATGTATATGTTATTAAAAGTTAGAAGTATGATGCGATTATAAATCTTGTTCATATGGGATAACAACAATGTGATAGAAAATAAAATCTATGCATGCGTGAAAAACAATATCGATTTATTACTTTATTTGATAAAATAATGATTTCAAGGATAACATAAACATGACTGAGCTGTATATAAATCTCTGTCTATATAGTATTAAATATACTTAAAGATATTTTATAAAAAAGAAACGTACTTAAGTTAATAATATTTCCATACAACTACCAATCTTCATTAATTAAAGATGTGTACCATTTATCCTATAATGAAAAAAAAACTACACACATGTCATACGCACTGACGCACAATAAACAATATTACTTTTCTCATTTAGTTTACTACTACGCATAGTTTAACATACTATTCAACATGAAAGAAAGATTGTATTAAGTATGCTTTACACTTTTCGACACGTTATGTATCTAAAGACTTCCGCCATATTTTTGATACGTTGACTCGTATATATTTTTCTTACAACCAATAAGAATGTAACATTAAAATGCACTCTATTGGTAATGCAATTATAGTGGTGCATACTCAACGTTGTAAGAATAAGATCCAATCATGTGTCCCTTGAAATAAAAATAATTAAATTAAGCAATAATATATAAGTTTTATTAATAACAAACTTCATCAGACTTAAGATTAATTGAATAGCATTTATTATAGCAATCTAATGAATGATAAAGTATGGTTAAATGAATACTAACCGTGTTTAATTATATGAGCCAATAAAAATTGATTCAGAATTAAAAGCATCGAGGCGCGAATTTTCAAATATCTTTAGAAGTTGATAACGAAAATATTCGATACTATCGAAATTTCAAGACAAACGACAGCAACGCGAACAGTGATTAAGAGTGGTAGCGAGTGGCTTTAGTAAGCGCTCTGTTTTTAAATTTAAATACAATAGTAAAAGAAACAATTCGAGTAGAATATTGTTGCAGGTTTTAATCAGATATTAATTTGGACTCTTTTTGTGTAATGTGTATTATTTTTCAATAATTTTCTATATTCTTTATATCTATATACAATCGTAAATGTTTGAATCGAAAGATAAGTGCATACAAGTGATTAATTAGCGGCCTTGAAATGAAGGACTGCTTATAATGGCACGTAACAAAGTCTACAATACGACAAAAAGTATAGTATACCTTATAAGTATACTGTAGAATATTTAAGTTAATTCAATGACTAAATAAGATGATTGAAAAATATATTTTACAATTAGTCATTTGTTCTTTTTTTTATTTGAAGGAATTTATTTATCTCTTTTATTTCAAGTGCAGTAGCTCATTTATCTGTCGAGGAATAAACACAGTATCGAAACTTCAGAAGTAAAAGTAAGGATTTAAATGATATTTCATTTTATCGCATACATTGTGCTGAATTACAATTTAATTTGCTTTATATATCTAAAATTTATTTTTAATACAAATGTGACCGTCACATATTTCAATATTAATATATAATCATAGTTCCAAATATAATTCGATTTTGCATAATATTTGTATTATACGAACTCATTTGCATAGTATTCATTAATATGAATAATATTTATATACGTGCGCGAGATGTGTATAACTTTTCTTGAAGCCTCCCTCCTCCATCTTTTCATCCTCCCATCATTCAGTTTAATCTAATCATCTATAATTTCCTCGCATATATATACATATTACATATATACAGCGCAATAAATCGTAGTATCATATACTATAGTATACATTTGTATATTCCCACTGTATATATTTATATGTTTATCTAATCTATTTTATTGCAAATAATTTTTTCTTTTATTTCTTATATACAGGGTGATTCTTGTAACGGGGACGGGTGATAACTTTTTTTTAAGTAACAATAGAAAAATCATAAAGGAAAAAGTTATATGTCACAACAAATTTCAACTTTCTACGACCTTACTTTTTTTGAAAATGCATTGATGCACCCGCAAGATGCAGTTGCACTTTTTTTTTAAATAGAACTTTATATTTTTTTTACACTATTCGATTTCTTTTTTTATTTTGCGTTAAAAGTATTAAGTGAAGGTCATCAAAATGTCAATAGTTTACGAGATATTTGATGTTTTATATCAGCAATGTATTTTATGCGGGTGCATCGATGCATTTTCGAAAAGAGTAAGGTCATAGGAAGGTGACATCTGATGTGCCATATAACTTTTTCCTTTATCATTTTTCTCTATTGTTACTTAAAAAAAAGTTATCACCCGTCCCCGTTACAAGAATCACCCTGTATATATATATATATATACATATAGATACAAATACGAAAAATGCATAAGGGATTAAAATTTTATAAAAATTACAACAAAGTGGCATTCATTAATAGACCATTAAAACGTAATATAAAAATTGTGCCACATTCGATCGAGAACAATGATGTGGAAACGATTCGTTCTTATGAGGATATACCTGGACCAAAACCAATATGGTTATTAGGCAATACTTTTAGATTCTTACCTTTTATCGGTATGACATATTTAAATATATTTGTATATCTTATTTAAAAAAAAAAAAAACAATTTTTTTTAATTGTTAATTATTCAATAAAATAATGATGCATATAGGCGAGTTTGGAAATAAGCCATTAGTATTACAATTAAAAATGCTTCGTGATGAATACGGAGATATAGTTAGGATGGATGGTTTACCAAATCAGCGTAAAACTATATTTGTATTTTCCTCGGAAATAATTGAAAAGATATATCGTACAGAAGGCCCATGGCCTCAAAGAATTGCCATGGAAGCATTGCATTATTATCGTAAAAATAGGGATTGTATTTATAAAGGAACATATGGTTTAACTACAAGGTCAGTGCGAAAAATAATATTATTTATATCATATAAAAAATAATAATTAAAATTAAAATGAAAAAATGATCTATTTAAAATAATGTTATCTTTTATAGTCAAGGTAAAGATTGGTATAATTTTCGATCGAAAGTTAATCAACACATGATGCAACCACGAGTTATTAATCCCCATATTGAACAAATGACTGACATTGCAACAGAATTTATCGAGAAGATACGAAAAGAATTAAGAAATCCTGTTACCTTGGAATTATCTCCTTCATTTAACAACGAAATGAATAAATGGGCTTTGGAATGTAAATTTTTATTTTATTTTTTATTATATAAATATTATTAAATATTACTTTAAAAAATTCAAATTTAAGTTATTATATAATATCGTAAATATTTTCATTATAGCGATATGCGCAATCGCATTAAATCATCGATTGGGTTGTTTAAAATCTAATCTAGCTGAAGATTCGGAACCTCAGAAAATGATCAATAGCATACACGAAATGTTCGATCTTATGTATCGTTTAGAATTATTGCCATCTTTGTGGAGGATATATAATACGCGTACTTTAAAAAAATTCTTCAAAGTTCTAGATACTCTTAATGGGTAATATCTCTCTCTCCCTCTCTCTCTCTCTCTCTCTCTCTCTCTTTTGTCTTCTTCTTATTTATATTTATAACAAAATTTATTATCACGAATAATAATTACTTAAATTCGATCTATGCTTTTTTTAATAACTTACAGAATATCAATTAAATATATCACTCAGGCAAAAGAAAGATTATACAATGAAACAGCAAATAATACGCGTGAAAGAAGCGTGTTAGATAAACTTTTGTTTATTGATGAACAAATTGCTTGTGTAATGGCGCTTGATATGTTAACTGCTGGGGTTGATACGGTAAATAACGATTATTTTTTTTATCTTTAATCCATGTAATCATATAAAATAGTGTAATTTTCTTTCCAGACAAGTAACACATGCGGAATGTTGCTTTACCATTTGGCAATGAATCCACGTGCTCAGGAAAAATTGCAGGAGGAAATAAAGTTAGCACTACCCGATAAAGAATTGCCAATTACAGTGCAAACTATGAAAAATATTTCATATTTAAAAGCGTGTCTCAAAGAATCTCTTAGATTATCACCAATCGCAATTGGTACTCTTAGAACAATGCAAGATGATATTGTTATAGGTGGATACAAAGTACCGAAAAATGTAAGACGATTGATGATTTAATTATCAAGAAAAAGAAAAGAAGATATTAAATTAATATATATTTCTTTTTTTCTAGTGCGATATTATATTAGGACATTCACTATTATCAATAGATCCTAAAGAATTTGAAAATCCGAATGAATTTATACCGGAAAGATGGATACGAGGAGAAGAAAATTTTCCATCTGCAAAAAACGCTCATCCCTTTTCTTACATGCCATTTGGTTTTGGAGCTCGTACTTGCATTGGTAGACGATTTGCAGAGTTTGAAATTGAAATTTTAGTGTTAAAGGTTTGTTTATTTTTCGTTACAATATGCATATAATATATATTGCGAAATTTTACAATTTATTGTCTAATTAATTTATTTATATAGTTGCTGCAAAATTTCCGTATCGAGTGGCATCATCGACCTATAGAATTAAACAGTCGGTTAATCAATACCATCGCATCTCCATTAACATTTAAATTAATAGATTTGTAATTGAAACGATAACAATCAATTAACATGAAATCCAATATACACAGAAAAGATGCATTGAGAACGATGTGCGTAAAAAGAAAAAATGGCTTGAAAAGTTGTCTTAAGATCAAAGTATTTATAAGTTTAAAGTTCGAATTAATTAAGAAGGTAACTTAAATTATACTTAGATTATGATTATACAGCCAAACAATAATTTTTAAAAAACATCATTGTTAAAAGCACTTATAGGTGCATTTATATTTTTATTATGAACATCATGATAATTGTGATCTTATTATTAGTATATATACACACATATATAACATTTTTAACGAATTATAAAACTTAAAAAGTTAAATTTAAATAAAAAAAGAATAAAAAAAATTAGGTCCCACCGAGATTTGAACTCGGATCGCTGGATTCAGAGTCCAGAGTGCTAACCATTACACCATGGGACCTTGCGTAAGAGCTGGTAAGTTTAATAATTTAAAAGAAAAAATATAAATAAAAAAGCTAATTATTAAATATTACATTTTTATATATGCTATTATTGTAAGAAATTTGTTTTATTTTTGTTATTATTTTATATTATTCAATTTTTTTCAATGTTTAATATATTTTCATTAAAATCTTAATTGTTATCTAAAATATTATTTGTATTTTTTTATACATTATTATCTGTCCACATAACACATAGTATGTGTGTAAATTAACATACTAGCATATTATAGTTATTTTATAGTATTTTATATATAAAATGTCCTTTTTTTTACAAATATATATAATACATACATCTATGAATGAATTTATAAATATAATTTCAATAGACATATATAGAATATATAGTGAATAGTTATATATATATATATATATTAAAATTATATTTTTAATTCTTGAAATTTGTATTTTTTTTTAATCAGTAACACATACCTTTAGAATTTCGCGGCATATTTGTACATATCTTGTATATATAAATTTAACATAATCTTATATTTATATTAAATAAGAAATTAACAATACTATATTGATAATATTCTAAATTTGATAACACAATATACCAGTACGTATTACTTACTAACATTGCATGTAGAATATAAGTATCCATAAGATATATCGAAGATTTTCTACTAGTGGCGCCATCTTTTATTTCAGTTGTATCAGATTTTGACACGTATGCGGTTTCCTTCTTTTCTGCTTAGAAATGTCGAATAAAATGAATTCCTTATAAATGATAATTATCTTTGATATATATTATCGACGGTGTTTTTTTACAAGATTATTTCAACTTTAGGTAAATATAATATAATTCGAATATATTGACATTGTATTGAGTTAAAGCTGTTATGTAGTTTGATAAAAAAATTAACCTTATTTTATATGTATACATATCTATCATTAGATTTTCTCAAATAAAATTTCTATTCCAATGATATATTGTATTAATTATTTAATAAAGTCAAACATATATTTGCAGAACGCTGAATTGAACACTAAAGACAAGATGAGTACTTTGGTGGAGCAACCATGTTACACGTTAATTAATATGCCAACGGATACAGAACCTTTAAATGAATTGCAATTGAAACAGGATCTTGAGAAAGGCAGTGTCCCTATTAAAATTGAAGCATTGAAGAAAACTATTTATATGATCTTAAGCGGTGAACGTTTACCAGGCTTACTTATGACAATTATTAGATTTGTTTTACCATTGCAAGATCATACAATTAAAAAACTTCTTCTTATATTTTGGGAGATTGTACCAAAAACTTCTCCTGATGGGAAACTACTTCAAGAAATGATTTTGGTATGCGACGCTTATAGAAAAGATTTGCAACATCCGAATGAATTTGTAAGAGGATCAACTTTGAGGTATAGATTTATTTAATAATAAAAAGATAATATTTACAATAATAGGTAACATATATTGAAAATCTTTTTTATATATTGATCACTTTCAGATTTTTATGTAAATTGAAAGAACCAGAGCTTTTGGAACCTTTGATGCCATCAATAATAGCTTGTTTGGAACATAGACATTCTTATGTCAGGCGTAATGCAGTATTAGCCATTTTTACTATATATAGGAACTTTGAATTTCTAATACCAGATGCACCGGATCTAATAGCTAAATATTTAGATGGCGAACAAGATATGTCATGTAGAAGAAATGCATTCTTGATGTTATTACATGCAGATCAGAGTAAAGCATTAGCTTATTTAGCTGCGTGTTTAGACCAAGTGCCTAGCTTTGGAGATATTTTACAATTAGTTATTGTGGAATTAATATATAAAGTATGTATGTATTATTAATAGAAATTTTGTTATTAATCATCAAGATAATTATTGAAATATATTCATTTTAGGTTTGCTTAGCAAATCCAACTGAAAGGGCACGCTTTATTAGATGTATTTACAGTTTATTAAATTCACCTAGTGCTGCTGTACGCTATGAAGCAGCTGGTACATTAATAACTCTTTCTAACGTACCCACGGCTATTAAAGCAGCAGCTTCTTGTTATATTGAATTAGTTGTTAAAGAAAGTGACAACAATGTAAAACTTATTGTACTCGATCGTCTAATTGCCATGAAAGATAGCCCCGTCTATGAAAGAGTTCTTCAAGATCTTGTTATGGATGTACTTAGAGTTTTAGGTATATTTATTGTAATATTTTTTCAATATATTAACTATACGATAGAGGAATTAAATTATATTATATTATCCTATCAATATTTGGCATTTATGTTATAGGTTCACCTGCATTAGAAGTAAGAACAAAAACACTTGCTTTAGCAATGGATTTAGTAACAAATCGTACAGTTGAAGAAATGGTTCAACTTTTAAAAAAAGAAGTTCTTAGAACCGCCGGTGGTGAACATGAAGATTCTGGAAGATATCGGCAATTGCTTGTTAGAACTTTACATGCTTGTTCAATTAAATTCTCAGATGTTGCAGCCACGGTCATACCAGTCCTAACAGACTTCTTGTCAGAAAACAATGAAGCTGCTGCCACAGATGTTTTAGTTTTTGTCCGTGAAGCTATTCAAAGATTTGAAAATCTTAGACCACTCATTGTTGAGAAGCTTTTGGAGGTAAAATATTACAAAATTAAATATCATTATATTATATAATGTATATTCTAGTCAGAACGATTATTATTATGTTTACAATATAGGTTTTCCCGCACATTCGATCAGTCAAAGTTCACAGGGCTGCTTTGTGGATACTTGGTGAATATGCAATATCAAAAGAAGATATAGAAGCAGTGATGCATCGTATACGTGCTGCTTTAGGAGAATTACCATTACTTGAAGCAGAAGATAAAAGACAAGCTGGAGAAAAATCAAGTGAAGACAATAACGAGCAAGCAGCACCTGCACTGCTAGTTACATCAGATGGAACATACGCAACTCAGAGTGCATTTAGCACCACAACAGAAGGTATTTTATTTTATTTATGCTTTTTGTATAATAAAAATATTATTATTATTGTATACAATTAAATATATACACGATTTTTTGTAAAAATAGGAAGAAAAGAAGAAAAGCGTCCACCTTTGGTACAATACATGATGGACGGTGATTTCTTCATTGGTGCATCTTTAGCTACAACCATAGCTAAATTAGCTTTGCGTTATAAAAGTCTTGAAAATAATCTTCAAAAAAGTAATAAACTACAAGCAGAAGCAATGCTTGTTATGTCTAGTGTATTACAATTGGGTAGATCTGGACTTCCTACAAAAGCAATGACCCATGATGATGCGGAAAGAATCTCCTTATGTTTAAGGTCTCTTGCCTCTCCAACTCCATTATTGCAAAAGGTGTTTACTAATGGATGTCGTGAAGCTCTAGGTAGAATGTTAACAGCTAAAGCAGAAGAGGATTCTCAAAATCAAAAGGTTATATTTAATCATTAATAAGTTAATAGTAATTAATATTATATATTGTAATGAATATATCAACAAGATTTATTTTTGTTAAATGATCTCAAACATTCAGGCGAAAGAAAAACCAGGAAATACTGTACAAGTAGATGATGCTATTCAATTTTTACAACTGAATCGTGGCTCCGACTTGACTGGTGGTGCTGGAGATGTTTTCGAACAGAGTCTCAATGTAGCTGTTGCTGGAAGACCTGGAGCAATGGGAGATACACCATCTCCAAATGCTTTAAGTAAAGTTACACAACTTACAGGATTTTCAGATCCAGTATATGCGGAAGCACTTGTACACGTTAATCAATATGATATTGTGCTTGATGTATTGATCGTTAATCAAACAGAAGATACCCTACAAAATTGTACTTTAGAATTAGCGACAATGGGAGATTTAAAATTGGTTGAACGACCGCAACCTATTGTCTTAGCTCCAAGAGATTTTGCAAGTATTAAAGCGAATGTTAAAGTGGCATCTACTGAAAATGGAATAATATTTGGTAATATAGGTAAGCTTTATAATTCAATATGCTATAATTAAATAATTGTAGAATAGAATAGATATTTTATATTAATGTTAATATAGTTTACGATGTATCCGGGGCTGGATCTGATAGAAGCGTTGTTGTTTTAAATGATATTCATATTGATATAATGGATTATATCGTACCAGCAACATGTACTGATGCTGAATTTCGACAAATGTGGGCAGAATTTGAATGGGAAAATAAAGTCTCTGTGAATACAAGTCTTTCAGATTTAAGAGAATATTTAGCTCACTTATTAAAATCTACAAATATGCGTTGTCTTACTCCTGAAAAGGTATTTTTCTGATGTATTTAAATATTTATTCTTTTTTTATATGTATTATTATATCATTAAATTCCTTCAATAATAATTCAATTCTAATAAATAGGCTCTTTCTGGACAATGTGGCTTCATGGCTGCTAATATGTATGCTAAATCTATCTTTGGCGAAGATGCATTAGCTAATTTGTCAATAGAAAAACCATTAAATAAATCAGATGCTCCAGTATTAGGTCATATTCGCATTAGGGCTAAAAGTCAAGGTATGGCTCTTTCATTGGGTGATAAAATTAATTCAACGCAAAAAGGACCACAAAATAAAATCATACAAACCGCTTAAACTGTGTACATATCTGATACTAAAAAAGAAATAATACATTATTCAATCAGTAATGATATAACGTGTACAATGTACACTTCAAAAACAATAAAAAGAATATGAATTTTCATAAAAGATCAAGTAAAAGATATTGCACAATAATTTACAGATTAAATGTGAATGTTACTATAAATATTTCATAAGAATAATGTTTATAACAATGCTATACATGTTTCTTTATTAGTGATTATAATAATTGACAGATCATTATTATTGATAGCATTATTATCTAACTATTTTACTTTAAAAAAAGCATTTTAATGAAAAAAAAACTTCTAAATCCTTTTCATTTCGTTTAGATTTTATAAACAATTTATTTTTATGATGTATAATTTTCTTATCCAACAATATGATAGATATTGAAGGAATAAATAAATTTAAGTTTATAAGAGATTTATTTCTAATGATTTGTTTATAATACAAGTTTTTATATATTCTCATAGAGAATATAAAAAATCCTTAAAAAATCAGTAATATTCCTATTTTAAAGTTTGTATTATCATAATTATTAGTAAATGAAAAACTTAACACGTGTATATATATACGTGTATTTTGTAAAATTACTCAATAAAAATATTAGTATTTCTATAAAATTATAGATTATTATATATATAATTTCATTATTAATATTCTATATAATTTTAAAACGATACGTTTGAGTTAATGAAATTTTTGTTTAAAAAATGACATTGCAGTGCGTATTTTTTTTAAAAAGGATACTATTTTTATATTTTCCCTCTCAAAAAAAATATAGAAAAATGGCGGAAAAAATTGCATACCTAAATATATAGAAATTATTGTTATTAATATGTATTTGAAAGAAATGAAACAATTACAAAAAAAAAGAAATAACCAATTGATATTTTATAATAAAAATCATATAAATAAATAAATAATATTAATATTATATATAATTATAATGAGATAATGTAAATATAATAAAAAATATTTATTTCAAAATTTCTGGGGATTATAGAAACATTTTCAAATTATCTAGTAGGAAATTTTTAGTTTTTAGATTGGAAGCACTGTTTTGAATAGTTTACCAAGATTTGTCTAGTGGTGACAACGGTTAAATTACAGCTGTTTGAGTAAAGTTTAACTATTTGTTTTATCATCAAATTAAAAATGTCAAGGATAGAAGTTATAAAAGAATCTTTAGAAAAAGCGTTAAAAGATGAAAGCAAACCATGGACCAAGTTCTTTGCATTTGCTGAAGAAAAAACTGGAATAAATCGATTATATCTATTTATTGGTATGTAATACCCATCTAAAAGTTACATTAATTATCCTTTTAATTAATTTTTTAATAAGAATTTTTTATAATCGTGTTTTTACGTAATAATAAGATACAATTCATAGATCAATTTAAAATTACAAAATACATAAATCAAATTATATTATTATTTAAAAGAAGCATAAATAGTAATTAGTTTTTTTCTCGTTTTATATCTAATTTTAAATCATAATAGATAAATCTATTATATCTATTGAAAAATAATTTAAAGGAAAAGATTGTCTGAATTTATTGATTAACCATACTATGTATATATACCGCATTGCTACCTCAATTTATTTTTATATTCACGTATATATATTTTTAAGGAAAGCTATATAAATAAAACTAATAAAGTATATATAATAAATTAATCATGTATATATGTATACGTGTATGTATATGCAAAATTATCATCTTATATTTATGTAATTAGTATTCATTTATTTTTCAGAACTTATGTTTGTCCTGGCATTATATTTGTTAATTGGAGCTGGACAACAATTAGTATGTAATATTATTGGTTTTATTTATCCTGCATATTGCTCAATGAAAGCTTTAGAAAGTCCCAAAAAGGATGATGATACAAAATGGCTAACTTATTGGGTTGTATTTGCACTCTTTACCATCATTGAATTTTTTTCTGAACTTATTGTTCAATGGCTCCCTTTTTACTGGCTATTAAAGGTTAAAAAATAAGCAATTATGTATATTCATTTTATCTGTTTTTAAATAAGATGAAAAGATTTTCAATTGGTGTTTCTTGTAGTGTTTCTTTTACGTATGGTTGATGGCTCCAACAGAATACAACGGTTCCCTGGTTATTTATCGACGTTTAGTACGACCAAAATTTTTGCAATATCATACCTCTTTGGACAAATTCTTATCCAGTGCTCGTGATACTGGTAATTATTTGATATATAAAAATTAAAATATTTAATAACGTTTGTTTACTTAATTATATAATATGATTTCAGCGATAAAAACTACAGTAGGTGCAGTTCTTACCGAAAAAAAGGATTAATAATAAACATTTACTATATTTATATATATAGTATAATATTTTTGTTTTTATTGTTAAATCAACAAGCTTGATATAAATCAAAAAATCACATTAAGCATTTTATAATCATTATATACTATAAGCTAAGGTGCTATTTGAAAATTTTGTAATAATATTCTTAAACTGGATCTTTTTATATATAAATATCTTTAATCTATGAATCAAGTAATTCTTCAATTTGAAATTTAATTTTTTTTATCCATGTCGATTAGGATAAATAAATTTTAAAATAAATGTAGTATTTAAAAAAAAAAAAACTTTTATTACAATTGATATTTAAATGCTTTTAAGTAAAATATTTATACATTAAAATTATTTTTATCTACGTGTACCTTAAAAATTATCGTGAAGTTGTCAAAGAAGACCATGTAAAAAAAGAAAAGCAATAGAGTATTCTTATACTTATAAAAGATAATTATTAAAATATATAATTGACCTCTTTTAGAAGGAAACAGTTATATATATTTATATATATGCTATGCATCTTTATTATCTTGTATCTTGCATTGATCAATTAAATAATGTTTTTACACGATTAACCCTTCTATTAAATTAAAAATTTATTTTCCCTCTTACTTTTTTTGTTATATCTTAAAAACAACATGAACAAAATTTATTTTTTTTTATATTAAAAATTAAATCGATTACTAATGTAACTTAAAAAGAAATTACATTAATTATCATTAAAATTAATGCGCAGTTTAAATAGTGAATTGTGAGTTTCAATGATATAAACAAAATTACAATAATTTTTAATCACGTTTTTGTTTAAAAGATTTTTAAATAAATGAGTTAATGTTTCCATGTAATAATTTTAATTTAAGTTCGATGATATTTTTGTCCTAACCTATTTAATTATTGAACATAAAATTCTCTTTCATATAGTAGAGATCAGACGCACGAAAGTTGTTTACATCGTAATAATTGAATATATCTATATTTTAATAGAATATGTACATAATTGAATAAAATTATTAAACATAATGAATATACTCAGGGCAATAACATATATACCTCGCAGAGCATTAAGTAGAAAAAATTCTGGCATTAAAAGTAAATTAAGAATATTAAAACAGGCTGGATTCGAGGAACCTAACCTCGAAGAATTGGATGGTCATGATTTAGATGAATTTGAAGCAGACTTCATGCACGCTGACGAGTTTCATAAAGATTACGAACAGTAAATTATTTTCTATCTATTTTCTTAATTATATTAAATTATTATATATTATATATAAAGTATATATAAATCCATTATTTTATTGTGAATAATAATAACATTATTTTTAGGGAAAAAATAAAAGCTAAACAATTACTCAAGAAACGAATTGTTGCGTCAAAATATTTTACAAAAGACAAGGATCCCAACTTCCTTACTAGCATTGAAAAGGATCAAATAAGGAAGCTACATGAAAGCAACCCAGAAGAATGGACAGTAGAAGTGTTAAGCAAAAGTTTTCCAGCTTTACCCGAAACAATTAAAAAAATTTTAAATTCTAAGTGGTCTTACGAATCAATAGAACGAGTCTTGAAATATGATGCCACTGTTGTTGATAATTGGAAACTATTTAAAGCAGGAAAGTTACCTGTTAGTCCTGCTTTACGAGAACATTTAGCAAAATTCCAAAATAGAAAAATAATGTTACCTGACAGACATCTCTTAGCAGAAAAATTAGTACCACCAAAAGCTGAACTTCCAAAACCGAAAAGTACTTTTTTTTCAAATATCGTGCAAAGTTATTTAGATCAGGAAACTAGTAATCAAAACGATAACAAAGTATTGCCAAGTGGTAAAGAAACAATGATAGACACAAAACTTTTGAAAGATACTAGTAATAATGCTATTGCAAAAAATTTGCTCGACAAGAGAGATTTAGTGAAAAAAGAATTATTGCATAAAAATAATACAGCATTAGTCAAACCCAAAGCAAATTCAACTCGACCAAAAATTACTTTCAATGAGTTTGCAAAGAAGGAACTTACAAGAATTTATGCAGAAAGGACAGAAGAAGCTATTACATTATTACATGCATATCAAAAATACATTAATAAAGATGATAATATATCTCCTGATATTGACGACACTATTATACAATCAAAACATGTACAAGCATTAAAAGAAGAAAAAAAAGAAGATGAAATAGAAGTAAAAAAAGAAAATTTGAGTTCTTGGAATGTAGAAATATCAAATGAAAAAAAAGAAGAATTCAATTCTTTAAATTTAAAAATATCAAATAAAGAAGAGGTATCAATTTCTGTAAACAAAAGTGAACCTCCACAGCTTATTTCTACAGATAAAAATGATACCAAATTAGATACTTATGTGAAGGAACGGAATTCAAAAATATCTGTAGATGAAAAATATTCACTGCCAATACAAATTCCAAGCAAGTTATATCAAAAAGGCAAAACTTATAGAATTTCTGATTGTTATTATGATGATGATGGAGAATTTTTATATAGAGTACCAGGTGTTAGAAATTAATAGTTAATCTTAATTAATATTAATTGAATTAATAATTTAATTCAATTAGTTAAATTAATATTAATATAATATTAATTGAAAATTCGTAAAAACCACGCTCAAGGAAATCATTTGCCTATTGACCTTTTTTTAACAAGCTACTTTAGATTAATTAATATCATTTCAACTCATTGTATATACGATTTCAACTGTACGTAATAAACTCTCAAAGATCGATCTTAAATTACTGCTGATGTTATTTCTTTTTACATTCACTACAATAAGCTAAAATTTTTAAATAAGTAACATAAAAGTAGAAATTAGTAGAAACGTATGCGAAAATTTTTATCTAAATGTCTTCATCTGATAAAGTAAACATTTAATTTATTATTTAACATGATAAAATAAAGTACAAATTATTTTGTGGTTGTATAGAATTAATTTCTATTTTACAGTTTATAGAAAATTTTTATTTTGAATCATTTCAAAAATTCGCGCGCTAAGCTTTTTGGTGAATTTACAATTGACCAATCAGAATAGATAACCATTTTCCCATCTAGGGATAACAATGTTTCACGCATTTCAGTAGTTTGGTTTTATTGAATCGAAGAGTCGAATATCAAAATATGTATATATCATATTAAATATGACTTTTATTTATATACATTTATATCTAGTTTACTATAGCATTTGAAAGTTATTATGTATAAAGAATACTAAAGTTATTTTATCAAGATAGTAGTATTTACATGAATTGCCTGGACAGTGAAAGAAATATCGAACGTTTGTAATATTTTTTAATTACTGGATTATCCAGGAGCTTTATACAGGTTCACAAAAAATAATGTTTATAATTAACAATTGTAATTAACATTTTGTCATGTTTCGTAAAGTAATTTATATATACGTATCAATTAACACACAAATTTGTTTTATATATTAATTATGCATATATCGTCTATATCTTGTATAATAATGTTTTAGATTCCATATAAAAAGATACAAAAACTATCATAATGATGCATAGAAGAGGTGGTAAAAGAATACGTATGGATGATCCGGTACCTCCAGAATATGATACACCTATGACACCTATGACTCCATCAAATGATAATACTGCTGATGCAAATGAATCATATTCTTCTTATACATCATATAATAATGTGCCTCAAACCCCCGTCCATAATCCTACGTAAATATATATTTATAATTGTTTAAATAATTTATATATTTTAATAACGCTTTCATAACAATATTCTTCTTTTATATGTATCATGTTTTTTTAGACCCGAACATTATTCTTCTGAAAGCTATAGTTCTCCAGGCACATCGCAACAACAATATCAAGAACAATCTAACAATTTTGATAATCAAGTACAGTTCGAACAACCTATGACACCTGCGACACCTGCTAATATGAGAATCACTCGGAATACACGTGCCAGATTACGAGGTGTGTTTGTAATTACCAATAAAATTAGTCATAATTAAGACATAAAGTTGAATTAAACTTTATTTTATATTTGAAGGAAATTCTGTGCAACAACCAAAATACAAAGAAATTGATACAGATTTTATTCCAACGACAACTAGCAGAGGTAGAGGAGGTGGTCGTGGTCGTGGAAGACGTTTGCATCATTCTCATAGTTTAGAAGATGAAGCTAGTCTTTACTATGTTATTAGAAATAACCGTTCATCTCTTACTGTAAGTTATTAATTAATTATTTATAGATGAAAAAGATATATGTGCAATATTTGTTTATATGAGTATTTTGTTGATAGACAATTGTCGATGATTGGATTGAAAAATATAAAAGTAATAGGGAAAACGCTCTTCTTATGCTAATGCAATTTTTTATTAATGCAAGTGGTTGCAAAGGACGCATTACTTCAGAAATGCAAGCAACCATGGAGCATGTAGCAATAATACGTAAAATGACCGAAGAGTTTGATGAAGTATGTATCTTTTTTTATATCTTTTTATTTATTACTATTACTCTTTATTTAATTATTATTAATCTATATATATATAATTTATTATAGGAAAGTGGAGAATATCCGTTAATTATGACTGGACAACAATGGAAAAAATTTCGTGCAAACTTCTGCGAATTTGTACAAATATTAGTTCGACAATGTCAATATTCTATTATTTATGATCAATTTTTGATGGACAATGTTATTTCATTATTGACAGGTTTATCTGATTCTCAAGTAAGAGCATTTAGACATACAGCTACGCTCGCTGGTTAGTAATTTCTAAACATTTATTATTAATGTATCTATAAGCGAATCATTTACAATATCATATAAATTTATACATAATACTTATTTGAATTATAATTTTAGCAATGAAATTGATGACGGCTCTAGTAGATGTTGCTTTAACAGTTTCAATAAATTTGGATAATACCCAGCGACAATATGAAGCAGAGAGACAGAAAGCAAGAGAAAAAAGAGCAGCTGATAGACTTGAATCTTTAATGGCTAAACGAAAAGAATTGGAAGAGAACATGGATGAGATAAAAAATATGCTTACATATATGTTTAAGTCCGTATTTGTACATAGATATAGAGACACGTTACCAGAAATACGAGCAATTTGTATGGCAGAAATAGGAGTTTGGATGAAAAAATTTCATCAAAATTTTTTGGATGATTCATACTTAAAATATATTGGTTGGTAAAAATAGGATTGAATTCGACAATATTTTAAAATGTATTTAATCTTAATGTTTAATTTCTAGGTTGGACGTTGCACGATAAAGTTGGAGAAGTTAGATTAAAATGTCTTCAAGCATTGCAACCTTTATATGCTTCTGAAGAGTTAAAAACGAAACTTGAATTATTTACTAGTAAATTCAAAGATAGAATTGTTGCAATGACGTTAGACAAAGAATATGATGTAGCAGTACAAGCTGTTAAACTAGTTATATCAATTTTAAAACATCATAGAGAAATTCTTACTGATAAGGATTGTGAACATGTTTATGAACTTGTATATTCGTCTCATCGAGCTGTTGCACAAGCAGCAGGAGAATTTTTAAATGAACGTCTGTTTCGACCAGATGACGAAGCCATTGCTGGAGTTAAAACTAAACGTGGCAAAAAACGATTACCCAACACTCCTTTGATACGTGATCTTGTATTATTTTTTATTGAATCTGAACTTCATGAACATGGAGCATATTTAGTTGATTCTTTAATTGAAACTAATCAAATGATGAAAGATTGGGAATGTATGACGGATTTGTTATTAGAAGAAGCTGGTCCTGAGGAAGAAGCATTAGATAATCAGAAAGAAACATCTCTTATTGAACTAATGGTTTGTTGTATAAAACAAGCGGCAACAGGTTAGTTATAATTATGTTATTAATCTTTTTTTTAATATTTATAAATTTATTATACTATACAGCGAAGAATAATTATTTGTATTCAAATAGGAGAAGCACCTGTTGGACGTGGTCCGACGCGCAAAATTTTATCTGTTAAAGAATTGAAGCAGGTGCATGATGATAAGCAACGGTTAACGGAACACTTTATTCAAACATTACCACATTTGCTCGATAAATATCGAGCAGATCCAGAAAAATTGGCTAATCTTCTTGCTATTCCACAATATTTCGATTTGGATATTTATACCAAATCACGCCAAGAACAAAATTTAGACTCTTTATTAACGAAAATTCATACAATTGTTGAAAAAATACATGATACTGAAGTTCTCGATACTGCATCTAAAACTTTAGAAAATATGTGTGTTGATGGTCATGCAATTTTCACAAGGTACATACTTAACGATTAATTTTATAATTAATAAACAAAATAACATTGTAACATTTAGACAATTATATCTTGCAGATGCGACGTTGCACGTTCAACTTTAATCGATTTTATTGTAAATAAGTATAAAGAGGCAATAGATGAATATAGAAATTTAATAGAAGGAGATGAAGAACCAGATGAAGATGAAATTTTTAATGTTGTTCAATCATTAAAAAAAGTATCTATATTTTATTCATCCCATAACATGAATCCTTGGGGAATATGGGATTCTTTATATAAAGACATTAAAGATGCGAAAGATCCTTCAAAGTATTATTTTTATTTTTTATTACATGTAATTAATAGATAATGTTCGGTTTTTGTAAAAAATTTATAATATTTTTCAGGTGTTTACCTCATGAAGCTGTGAAATATTGTATAAGTGCATGTTTTTTCGCCATCTTATGGGGTCAGCATCATTTGATGGAAGCTACAGATTCAGGAAGTCGTGGAGAAGACGAGTGTCGTCAATTAAAGGAGCGTCTACATTCATTTATGGCTTCTATGCGTTATTTTGTTAGTGGTGATAATAGCACAGTGGTAATTATTATTTTATTAAACTCTATAAACACATACACAATATTGATACAATAATTATCTTATAGATATATAATATAGATAAGATTAATAAGATATATAATTATATAATAATGATTATAGAATATATATATATATATATATATTAATTTATTATATATAATAAATTAATCTTATTACAGCGAACACCACCAATTTTAAGAGAGGAGGCATATAATACAATATGTGATTTACTAGTAGTATTTTGTAATCAACTAGCCAGTCACCCTAATGCATTAATGTCTCAATTAGTGTATGAACCTGACCAAACAATGCAACATATGCTTAATCGATTTATACAAGAATATGTTTTTTGCGAAGAGGAAGATGGTAACTATTTATTTATATTATTAAAGAATAGATTTTATGCAATATAAAAAATAATATTTTTTATGATAACATAGATGAACACGATGAGCACTCAAAGATTGAAGAGTTACATAAACGTCGAAATTTCCTAGCCAGTTATTGCAAACTTATTGTTTACAACATGATTCCAACAAAAGCAGCAGCTGATGTATTTAAACATTATGTAAAATATTATAATGATTATGGTGATATAATAAAAACTACCTTAGGTAAAGCTCGAGATATCAATAAGACGAATTGTGCTTTAACAATGCAACATAGTTTAAATATTTTGTATAATGAGATTGTTATGGAAAAGGGCAAGGTTAACAGAAATAGCGAGGAATTCATTGCAATTAAGGTTTGCGTTATAATATTTTGAAGAAATTTAATAAATAAAATAAATCTTTTTATTTTTTTACGCAGTTTAATATTTAAATTATATTCGATACTTTTAGGAATTGGCCAAACGATTTGCATTATCATTTGGTTTGGATGCTGTGAAAAATCGTGAAGCAATTACTGCTTTGCATAGAGCAGGAGTTTTATTTGCTATTACTCCTCCAGATGGTATCGAGCAAGATCCAACTGGTCCACCACCCAATTTATCCTTTTTGGAAATTTTGTCAGAATTTACTAATAAATTGTTAAAACAGGATAAACGCGTTGTGTAAGTATTATTTGTGAAAGATAATAGAAAATATATTTTTATTTTCATTTATTGATATATAATGTTATGTCTATTTTAGATTAAATTTCTTAGATAGAAGATTACAAGCTGGTATGCCTTCTTCACGAGGAGAAGATTGGCAACCATTACTTTTATATAGAAATAGTCTTTTACATGGAGAGACTGATCAAGTTCCAGTAACAAGTAAACGGGCATATACACGACGTAAAAAGGATCATTTAGCCGGTCAGTTAAAATTTTATATTTTGAAAATTTTTGCTATATATATATGTACTTAAAATATGTTGATAATATATAATATGTATATTAATTATGTATACGATATTATTTATTTTACAGAGGAAGAAGATGCAGATGAAGCCGATGAAGGTTCCGATCATGAATTTTCAGGGTAAGTTAGGTGTATCTACGATCTGTTTTAAAATAAAGCAGTTCTTTTTTTTATCTTCTTCTATTATAATTATTAATATTGTAGAATTGAATGCAAATGCAACCAATTGCTTCCTTCTTTTTTAATTAAAATAGTATCCTTTATAAATAATTTTAATTTCATTAAATTTTTTGTGATGAAAAGGCTAATGCTTTTCTTTAACAGCTTTTTAAATGTACTGATTACTTAACTTACTTTAAGTAATATTGTAACAAATAGCAAATAGTACATTTTCCTTCTGCATTATTATTTTTCAATCACATGAAATTATTTAATGTAAATATAAATTATCACTTTACTTTATCTTTTATTTCACTAATTGTGTATTTATTAATGCTTCATTGTATTTCAAAATATTCTTAATGTGCTATTTTACTTAATATTCATGACTACTTAATATATACATATATAACACACATATTTGTATAAAATTTATACAGATTTTATTACATCTGCATAAATTTTATTTATCACTTGTATTCATTATAGTAAGTTTTCATTCGTTGTTTTCGATAGATTTATTTAGTTTTTCTTTATTTAAGAAAAACTTATTTAATTTATTTATAATTAAGATCTACTTCACTTATTTACCGTTTAATTCTGTTCTTGATTAATAACTTAATAAATATATATTCCAATTTTCATATAAAATTTACTATTTTGAATATACGTCATATTAATTATGTTTATTCTTTATTATAATACATAATTATTGTTTAATGTTAAAAATATATATGTATACCTAAATAAAATTTATTCAAATCAGTGAACGCAATTTTATGCAATAAGAACGGAAAATTTAATAAATTTCTATGCACTATAGAAATTATAAAGATATTAAATTTTTGAAGTTCTCATTTGTCAAGAATTTGATTCGAACAAATTACTTTTAACTTTATATAATCAAATTTTATTACAAATATCTTTAAAATGAAATAATTTATTATTTATACTTGCTGCTGCTTGTTTTTGCTTAATTCTAATTGATCTAATATTACGATAATTAGTGTCTTCTTGCATGGGTAGTAATCTTTGATAAACTGCTTGTTGCAGGCTACCTGATTGTTAGGCAAACTACAATTACAATTTTAAATAATATAAAATAAAATATATTTTAATATTATATATGTATATAAATATAATATAAGGGGCAAAAATTATATTTTTTAAAATTAATGATATTCGTTATGCCTGGTACCTACTCTAGATTTTATTTACATTGAAAAAAACTATATATAACAAAACAAAATAAAATAAAGTCAAAATTTAAATTAGAATTAAGATAGCGTATAACAGAAGAAAAATAATAAATTATAATATTTTTAAACAAAGTGAAAAAAATAGTACATAGAGAACGATGTGTGTATTCTTATCCAACATAAATATTTAAAAACAAGTAAGTTTAAACTTTGTATCTTATTTATAATTAATAATACAAATTGGTGATAGATACAAAAAATATGTAATATTAATTTAAACGAGACCTTCTATTCCCAGAGCTCCCAAATCCTATATACATGCAATTGGAAATTGATATTGCAAACGCATGATATGCATTTATCAAATTAAATAAATTATGGGAAATGTGACAGAATTAACCCATTATTTCACATTTCCTAATTTGAAATAGAGTTTCAGATATATACAACACGCCGTTCTCTATAATTGTTAACTTACAGAATCATTTTACATAGATATTTTGTTTTTTATTTCTTGGGTTAATTCTGTAAGTAACATAAATAATTTATGTAATATTCATGTTTAATTAATGTATATATTCTTCCTATATATATAAATACGTATTGTATAATTGATATACATCTGTTTCGCTATTAAATAGAAAAGATTTAATAATACATTAATTAAAGTAATATTGACATTAAATTTTTGTCCCTTTTATTTAAATACCGTATAAGCATAATATATTTTGATCACTATGAATTGTTTTTCAGTAAACACAAGAAAAAACGTGGTCCACGGAAAAATCAGTAAGTAACATTTTATTCATACTATGCATAATACAAATAAAAATGAGTAATATGCTGTTTCTATCATTTTTTATAATATAAATAATATATAATGTCTATATTATTAAGTATTACATTTTTATTAATTATATTATATTATGTTCTTTCAGATTACCAGTTACAAAAATTTCAATAACACGTGGTCCCAAATCAAACACATATTATGAAGCTACAGAATCAGGGTTAATACAAACATCTCCAGGATCTATGGCAGAGGATACATCAACAAGTCCTTCACAGGATATAGATACTCGTCTTAAAACTTTGCAGATACAATCGAGACCGTGAGTAAAGGTTTTTTATGTTCTTTTTTAAATACGATATTAATTATAATCTGTTTGTAATTTTTTTTATTTTTTTTTTTTTTTATGTAAAAGGAGGCGAAATCAAGAGCATTCCGAACCAAGAGAATTACGAAGAACGTCGAGAAATTCGGGCCGATATATTGAGGGTCAATACATGGTGAGTACAGTACATTTTTAAGATTATTTGTATATTGCAATCTTATTTTTAGTATTTTATATTTACTTATGTTAGTATAACAACGACTCAAAATAAGAAGATATATTTACACGGTATAAACTCTGGCAATTGTTCAAAATTATGTTTTCTATTTAGATGAGTTTCAATTTATTAATTGTTTTAAAAAAAATAATTATATAAATTATTTAATATGAAACTATTAGAGAGACTATTTTTAGTATATTTTTTAATATAATTTTATTAATTAAAAATAATGCCGATATTTAATTACTTGTTATTTGTTATATAGGAATCTGATTCAGAATAAACGGATGAATTAAAAAGTACACATCGATATACAAATTCGAAACTATATACTTGTGCATGTATGTGTATGCATGACGACCCTATACACAAGGACCCCTTTTAAATGCAAGCAATTAAAAAAATATGCGGTTTTTAAAAGGAAATCGTTAATAATTTTTGTTATACGATTTTTAAATAATGACTGACTTTTCTATAATATAAATTGCGTTCTTATGGTATTATATATATAGATATGTGTATATGTATGTGTATATATATATATATATATATCATTATGTTATATTTTACAAAAATTTGATAAGAAAACTTAAAATCTATCCTTGTTATCGCCAAAGTATTAATGATTTGTCTAAATAAAAGATTTTTCTTAATATTGGTGACATTTGTCATATATATATATATATACATATATATATTATATATATATATATATATATATATATATACTATATATATTATTATTTTACTTATATTACATTAATCTATTCACATATTTTGTACATTATTGTAAAGAAAAAAAAGGAAAAAAAAAGAAAATACAAAATATAAAGAAATGTGTATACATTTGTCTCACTTAATTATCATTCTAGCTTATTTTAGTAACCTTAAAAAAGTATCTTTTTTTGTTACACTCGTATTCATTATATTATTATTATTATTATTTTTAATCCATATTTGAACGTCATTTTCGAAACATGTTACTTAATCTTCGAATTCTAGGCGTATTTGAAGTATTCTGTTAAATATTTAGTTAATATTATACATCTTAATTATTATAATAATTCAAATATTAATATTAATTACATATAATCATGATTTAATTAATTATATCATTCCTTACCTCATCTTGACGTCTTAAAGTGTACAATAATCCCTTAGTTCGACGCGGTGTTGCTGTCGCCCTTCTATCAACATTTCGTTCCTTTAAGATTCTTGAATTTGGGCTTTTTAATTCATTGCCCTAAATAGTTCATATAAATTAAAAATAATAATTATTTATTATAATTAAAACATCAAGGATAATTTAAGATTTTTATAATTATTAAAGATTGACTAATTAAACTTTTTCGATAAAAACATATTACAAACAAATTTTGCTTACATGTAAAGATAATCTACCTCCATTTTTGCTAGGTGTTGGAGGACCTGGTTTTTTATAGGACGGCTACAATATGAGAATAAAACAATTGCACAGAACAAAACAAAATACGTTAATTGACAGGAATACATAAATAAAAAAAATATACTTACTTGCGTTCTATCTCTTTTTTTAGTTTTTTGTTCAGGAAGGAGAATTTGACTTAGACTATCATTAAATACATCATCAGAAACTGAACCTGTCTAAAAAAAAATAACAATACAGTAATATTTATAATAAAGAAAACGAGTTAAATACTTAAAAATAATAAATATATATATATATTTATAAAAGGTATCCTGTAACTGGTGATACAATCAAGCGATTAAGTCAAAAATGAATAAAATTTGCTCATATAAGGCTTTTATAAAAAAATAAGTTAAACAACTTATCAAGTACACGTGCAGTTACTGGATACACTTTATAAATTTCATTTATAAAACTTACTTTTATTTCTTCTTCGGTTAAATATAATGGTTGAAATTGTGTTTCGGCTGGATAAGATGATTTCAAGTGTGGTTTGCAAAGGGAATTTCTCATTTGTAATGCAGATAAACGATCAAAATCTACTATAGGCAAGCCATGACCTTCTTTCATATCCGCTATATTAAATTAATATATGGATTATTCTAATATATATATAAACTAATCCTGTCTTATGCGTTTATGAATAAGTTTCTTCTGTACCTAAGTAAATATTATCAAAAACTTCTCCTTCTTCATCTTCCGCTTTAAAAGCATTGACCATAGCATGCATATTTTTAGCACTATGGCGTTTCTCATATGTATTTTCCTCTGCCAATGTTTTGCTAAATGTACGTGAATTTTCTTGCATACTATTTTCCAAAGGAATATCTTGTTTTTCTAATCTAAACAAAATTAAAAAAAAGTCAATATCAAAATATTATTCTTCTTTTCTTCTTAAACTTACTTAATAGGTCTATGCGGCATAGAAAAGTTCGTAGTATTTTGTTCCATTTGATTACATAGTTTAATCTTAAATTCGTTCAATTGCTGTAAGGCTTCTTGTTTTTCTTGCTGCGCAGTTAATAATCTTTCTCCGACATTCCAGAATTGTGAATTTAATTCATTGACATGGGTCTTATATTTAGCTATTTCCTCTTTATGCTTCAGACACTGTTGCTCCAATTTTAATTGCAATTGTTCTACTTTAAGTTCTATAGTCTTTTCTTGTTCTTTGTTCAATTTCACCATTTGCTCATTATAAGCTATTTTCTGCGATACAAATAAAATATTTATAAATATATAATACTAATCAAATAATAATTATTTTAATAAGCGTATTTAACTTACCATTTGTTGCTTCATTTCTTCTAATTTCATTTCATATTTACTATGAATTTCCTTTAATTGAGTTTCTGATATTTTATTTTTAGCCTGCTCTTGTAATTCTTTATGTAATTTATCTCTTTCTTCTTGTAACAATAAAGTTTCTTGTTTCAACTGTGTCACTTGCTTCTTCAGATCATTTACATCAGTTGATTGAGATTTAAGATGTGTTACTTCTTTATTCTTTTTATTTTCGGTTCTAACTTCTTCCAATGTTCTTTCTAATTTTGCATTTCTTACCCTCATCATATCTAATTTATTCTTCATTTCTTTTTTCTCTTTCGCTAATTGATCGATCTGTACTTGCAGTTTTTTATCGCTAATATTTTGTTTTACTTGTCCAGCAACATAATTCTTTTTATATGAACTAATTGAATGACTAAAATCTTCTATCTCTTTTTCAGATTTAATAATATCATTGTACATATTACTGATATTTTCTAATTCTCCTTTGATTATTTCTTCCTCTTTGACATTATTTTCTTCTATATTACATTCAATAGTGGAACTTTCTTTATTACCATTTAAACACTGCAAATAAGTGTTCATTAATTTCTGTTCCATGTTAGAAAATTTCTTCCACATAATATTAGTTATGGATTTAATATTTTGAAAATAATTAATATCATACTCATTCAACATGTTTTGAAGAGTTTTTTTCTTAGTTTGCAACTGTTCTATATCTTTACATTTAACATTGTTAGTGGTAGTAGTAGTAGATAAATTATTAAATTCATTTAATACTTGACCCCATTTTTGTTTCAATGAAATGAAAGAGTCATTCGAATTTTCCAATGACAAAATAACTTTAGATAAAATCTCTTGTATTTTTTCCTTTTCTTTAATAACATTTTGAATGTAACTTTTATGGTTTTGTTCTGATATTTCAAAATCATTTATCTTTTGTCTCAATATTGTATTTTCATTTTGAATTTCTTCGTTATCAATTATAATTTTCTTTTGATCATCAATAATTTTTTCTAAATTCGTGTTTTTTTCAGATAAATGTAATATATCTTCTTTAATTGCTTTCACATCATTAATGGCAAAGATAATTATCTCTGATATAATGTTAAATTCATCGTTACCATTTGTCTGTGATTCATCTGATATATTATCAACAGTACTGTCATTTCCATGCGTAGAATTTAAAAGTTGTGAAAACGTACATTTCAATTTTTTAATATAATCTTTTAATTCTTTACACGTTTCTACAATTTCTTTATTCTTTTTATTGACAGTATCATGACATTCTTTAAATACATTAAGCTCATCCGTTTTTATTTTCAAGGAYTCTTGCAATTCGCTAACATTATTCTCTAAATTAGAAATTATAATATCTTTGTTAACAAGTTTACATTCTAAATTACTCATTAATGACTTTTCTCTTTCAAATTGTGAACAAAGTTTTTTTTTCGTCAGATCAAACTGAGTTTGCAAATAATTTAATTGTAAAGATTTTTCTTTTAACGCTTTTTCATGTCTCATTAATGCATCATCATGAACAGATTTTGCTTTTTGGATAGTTCTAATTATTTCTTTCAATATTATTTCTGATGCAATTRTTTCTTTAGACAATTTATCTATTTGTGATCGTAATATCAGTATTGTTTCGTCTTTTAATTTGATATCCATGTTTAATTGTTCTAACAAATGTTGTTTATCTAATAACTGCGTTTCTAATTGTATGATAGACTCTTTTGTCTTATTATCACTTTCTTTTTGTATRTGGATCAAGCGATCTTTTTCCACATATAAATTTTTTATATTTAAATGTAAAGAGCTTATTTCACTGTCCTTAGATTCAATCAATTTTAAAATATTGTTATGTTCAGTTACAAGAGATTCTGCTTTAACCAAAGCAGCTCTCAAGTCAGAAGATTTTATAGTTTCATCATGCAATGCTTTATTCAAAATATCTATTTTTTYATTTAATACTTTTTGATGTTCTTCGCTTTGCAATAGAAGTTCGTCTTTACGAGCTAATAAATCTTCTAAATTTTTATTTATTATTATATTATTTTTCTCTAAAGATACAATTTTGTTTTGAGCATCATTTAATTCTAATTTTATATCATTTAACATTTTCACTTCATTTTGCAAGATTGATATTAAATGTGTTGAATCTTTATGTTCTTTTAAAGTAATTTCTAATTTTTCCTTTAACTGATTAAGCTGTGTTTTTAATAAAGTATTTTCATTTCTCGCTTCTTGAAGTTGAACGTCAATAACAGAACTTAAAGTCTCACTCGTATTCATAGGTATCAACAAAGAATTTTCTAATATAACTCCATCAACTTCAAAACTGTCTTCTATCGATGGTCCATTTAATTTTCTTAAATGTGCACGTAAATCTTCATTAGTTATTTTAAGATCTACTATTTCTCTTTCCTTAGACTCCATGTCTACCGTTAACATTTCTATAGATCTTTCTAAGTTATTGCACTTTTCGTTAAGACTTATATTTTTTTTCTCTAAAAATGTTAATTTTTCTGTAACAGTTGTTTTATGTTCTTCCAATTTAATAATATTATCTTGAGATTGAAGTAACTGATTTTCTAATTCATGTATTTCTCGCTTGTAATAATCTTCATTGTGAAATGTATTCTTTCCTTTTTTACAAGATCTTGGAGTTACTAGTTTATTTTTTTCTTCTTTTAATTTTTTTATTTCTAATGTTTTTTCTTCCAGTAATTTCATTAAACGCTGCACTTGGTTTTTTTCTATTTTTAAATCCTCTTGAAGATCTGCTTTTTCAAACCTCTCTACTTCTAATTCGGATTTTAAAAGTCTTAATTCACGATTTCTTTCATTTAAAATTCTACTGCTTTGGGCAGAACGTACTACCGGAGAACCAAAAAATTCCTTAAGAGAACGTGTATTTGGTGTTTTAAATACATTTTTTCTTTCAATTTCAGTTAACTCTATTATARCGTMTCTTAATATTTCAAAAGAAATGGACTTTCCATAAGGTAATACCATTTCAAGAAAAGATTTAATTTTAATTTGTGTTTCATGYTGTAATTTAGTACACATAGGTAAATGAAAATTAGAATTTTGACTCGCATGAGATAGTACTAACGACATGATATATGTGTCTTCGGAATATTTTTCAATTTGATCCTTATTAATTTGAAATTCAGGATATTCATCTAAGGGAAAAATAATTTTTCTTACAGAATATGCTGGTAAAATATTGCAAACAAAAACTGAAACCAAACCCCCTGTATATATAAATAATATTTATATACATGCTTACCTTTAATAAATGCGGAAATAATATTTTCATCATCAGATCCATTTACATCTTTTCTCAAAGTCCTATAAAAWATAATAATTAAAATTAATTTACKAATAGGAAGAATTTTATATTTGAAAGTTTCATTTMATTAATTCTCAATTACTTTAAATTAGTAAGTAAAATACATATAAAATAAACATATTAATTGTTAATCATACTTACAATGATTCAATTAACTTTCCATACAACTGTTTCTCTTTTAATTCTTCAATGTCTTTAATTGGKGCTTCYAAAACATTTAAACAATTAATCTAAAATACAAGTCACGATGTTAATTAAGAATCACAGTGAATATAATTAAAGAAAATCATATTAAAATGTTACAATGTTTTCAATTATTAAATTTATTGAAAGTATAAACATAGTTATTCAATATAATCACAATAAATATAAATATAAAATGTAACTTATATGTATTTGATCAAATTTTAATTAATTTATGAATAATTTAAGGTAATTTCGTACCCATTCAATAATTATTTGTAACCAATCCATAATTCAATATATGAATACACAAACTCATTCAATTAAATTYCAAAAACCGTTTTGTTTGCTTTGACACTCTATCGTTCTGTTCAAGATCCGTTTAATTTCAAAAATCTTACTTGAATTCTAGCTTACCGGAAGTTAATGATCATTGGTTTAATTTTTCAGGAAGTTAACAAGAATTTGTCCAGAAATTAATAAAGAAATATATAATTTAATCTAGGGATTTTTACGAATTACTTTTCTAAATACCATATAAAAATAAATTTTAAAAATTAATATTTTCTATGTATTATAAATATACCAGAGACTAAGATTTTTGCTCATCATATTAATATTAACAGGGTAAAGTCAAAGAAACGATGTTTTAATAATAAATTATTAATTACTAACAATTTATAAAACACAGAAAGAAGAACATCTTAATTGCTTTTATCCCTCGTAGAATAATATCAAATGTTGTTATAGTAATATTTCATAATATAGTGATTTTCGATACTGAAATATAAGATTGGCAAGACTGGCATCGGAAAAATTTGAATTTCAAAGCGTGTTGTTTCAACGGTTCACTTAGAAGTCGACGATGAAGAATTGAGTAAAACTGAAACAACATGTTTAAATATTTTGAGTGCAATTAAATGAAGAGTTCGAAAAGAAGTGTTAAAGAAAGAAATAAAGAAAGAAATAAAGACAAACTTTTTAAAAGTGTTAATATAAAAATTGAATAAGTATAGACAGACGTAAGAAATGGTACAGCTACACGCTGTTAATGAATATTATTGTTTTCTTTGCGGGTCATATTGTTAAGAAAATAAAAAAAGAAACCAAAAGAAAGGAGAAGAAGAAGAGGAAGAAGAAAAAGTGTTAGATTATTAAGAACTTTTTTCGGATTTACGTCATAATGGTATATAATAAGAAAGATCAGGCCAAGGCATTTTCGCCTAACAAGGTGAGAAAATTTGGAAAAAAACGATTATCTGGAAACTTGTTAAAAACAAGTGCAAATGGAAGCGGCGCAGCAGCATCATCATCAACATCAACATCAACATCAACACCATCATCATTATCATCATCATTGGTAAACAAGAATAAATCAGAAACAAATATAAAAGTAATAGTACGAGTTCGACCACCAAATGATAATGAATTGCAACTTAATTCTAAGACAATCGTTAATATACTTGATGATAAAATGTTAATATTTGATCCTAAGGAAAAGGAAAATCCTTTTTATTATCAAGGTGTTGTACAGAAAGGTCGTGATTTATTGAAAAAACAAAACAAAGAATTACAATTTATGTTTGATAGAATTTTTGGCGACACTTCTACAAATAATGATATATTTGAAGGGACAACAAAAGAATTAATTTTAAGTCTTTTAAATGGTTATAATTGTTCCGTATTCGCATATGGTGCAACGGGTGCTGGAAAGACTCATACTATGTTAGGTAGTGCTAATGATCCTGGGTTAACTTATCGCACTGTAGCAGAATTGTTCTGTCAAATAGAAAATCAGAGTAGGCATAATGAATTTAATTTAGGCGTATCTTATTTAGAAATTTATAATGAAAATGTTCAAGATTTATTACATAAGTCTGCACAATTGCATTTAAGAGAAGATAGTAGAAGCGCAGTTATCGTTGCAGGACTTAAAATTATTCCTATACAGAACGCAGAAGAATTGTTATCTTTATTAGCCAAAGGCAATAAAAATCGTACTCAACATCCTACGGATGCAAACCAAGAGAGTAGCCGAAGTCATGCAGTTTTTCAAGTTTATATTCAAATTACTAATAAGTTGAATGGCCAAACCAGACACGTTAAATTGTCTATGATTGATTTAGCTGGATCCGAAAGGGCATCAGTCACTGGATGTAAAGGTGCTCGATTTAAGGAAGGTGCTAATATAAATAAGTCGTTATTGGCACTTGGAAATTGTATCAATAATTTAGCAGATGGTGTTAAACATATACCTTATAGAGATTCTAAACTCACTCGTCTCTTGAAGGATTCTCTTGGTGGTAATTGCCAAACTGTTATGATTGCTAATATATCACCTTCTAATTTGAATTATGAAGATACATATAACACTCTCAGATACGCGAATAGAGCTAAGAAAATAAAAACATGTGTTAAAAAGAATATTGTATCTTGCGAAATGTATATATCTGGATATATTAAAATAGTAGAAGAACAAAAGAAAGAAATTAATTTCTTAAAGCAACAATTAGCAGCCTATGAAAGCGGATTAGTACAAGTACAACCTGAAATTAAAGAAACCAAAGTTGTTACTGAGAAAATAGATGATAGTTTAACGGAAATAAATAATAAGTTATTAGAACTGTGTCATAAGAAAAAATTATTAAGCGACAAGATGTTATCTTTGGAAAGTGCAGATAAAATTTTATATTTTAGAATGCATTACAAAAAGGTTGCCGATCAAAGGTTACATAATTTAACTGCAGCTGTGGACATTTTGTCTTCTGAAGAACAAAATGCAAGTGGAAAAACAAGAGTAAACAAATCTTTAGATTACTTTAAGCGACAAAGAAGCTCCTTAAAAATACAAATGGAAGGAGTTTGGAAAGAACTACGTACAGTCGAGGAAGAAATGCAAAAACTAAATGCTGAGATTGTATATAAAAATTTGCGTGATAAATTAGCAAATGTTTACTCTTCTACAATCCAAGAACTAGACACATGTATAATGCAACAGCAATATGAACATGTTAAGAAAATCGTTAGTTTACAACAATGTGAATTACATTCAATGTGTACGATTCACAAACTAATAAGTCCAATATTACAAAGTTATTATAATTTGATGAATGGTTATGGAATAATGACTAAGGAAATGAAAGAAGAATTTAAACAGCTAATTAAATCGCTCGAAGGTGTTAGAAATATTAAATGGTCAGATTCAGAAATGATTGACGAAGAAAAAGATTTTTATAGTTTATCGTGTTTAAGTATACCTCAGTTAAAAGATCCCCTCAATCATGAAGTGCCAGTATTTGTAGAATCAGTAATTAACGAAGAAAATCATAATGATCAAATTACTGAAGATGTTTTAAGTAAAACATTTAATTTGAACACCTGTGAAGCAGAAAATACAGAAGTTTTAGATACAACCATTACATTACATGAAAAAAATGAAACTAATTCAATAATGAATACTGAACAGAATTCAATAAAAGTTATAAATAAAAATGGTACAAGTACTAATTCAGCATTCTTACAGAATAAAGTAAAGAGGCTTATACCTTCGAATAATAAAATTTATTCAAAACAATTTAAAAAAACGCATCAAAAACACCAAATTTTAAATCACGTTGTTGGATCGCCTGATAAAGAGAACAAGAATACACAAAAGCAACATTCTGTTATGAGTGCTAAAAGTATTGCTATTTTAAATAGCTTAAAAGAGGATAAGATTAAAACAATATCGTGTCTCTCTACAAAACCATCTAAACCAATATTACAAGATGCACAATTAAAGTCAGTAAGAATAAAAGAAAGACGTGGACTTGGGTCTACACACCCTTATCAAAAATCAAAACAGAAGTAAGTGATACTTTAAAAATATATTCCAAATTATCTATTAACGTGATTAACGGATGCACATTATGGTTTTTATTTTTATAGCTGTACATTGACTCCACCTAAAATATAATTGACAATAAACCAAAATCGTTTGTAGATATACATATATATTTCCTGTTTAGTATATTAATAATGAGATTAAATACAGACATGATTATAATAACGTGAGAAGAGAATTTTAAATTCATTGAAATTAACTTTATATTTGAAATATCAATAGAACTTTTAGATTAATTTTGCATCGTATATTATATTTATATATTTTGTTACTCATTAAATGTAAGTAATAACGTTTTTTAATTATATTTATAAATAAACATTTTTTTTATATCCTAATAATATACAATAATAATATCTTTGAAATTCTCGATATGGACTAAGTAATTATTTGTGCAAAATTAATTAATACCTTTTATAATTGAATTCTAATATTACATTTGGAAATAAGACTGAGATATAATTCATTGTCATATTGTAAAAGGAAATATCTTATTATTTGATACTGCTTACATATTATTTTTTTTATTTAATATATTAACAATAAGATATTATTTTGTAGATTATTATTATATAAGTTGCACATGATTCATAGTTTTAATATTTCATTATATGCAAATTTCATAGTATTTGTTATATATATTTATATTATATGTGCAGTTTCATAGTATTAAGAATAAATTTATTAATGTATAATCTAATAAATTATCTAATATTAATTAAAATACTTGTATATAATGATGTATTATTATGAATTGATATTTGTATGTAGCAGTGCTAAACATGTAAAAATATGTATAATTTGGATAAAATTAATATTTTATGAAAGACTATGTCAAGAATAAATTAAATATAAAAGAAAAAAGAAAAGGACAGTTCGTACAAGCAATTGTAGAATTACAATTGTAAAATTCTTTACATATAATAATAAGTATAATTTGTAAAAATATTATATATTGTATTTTAGTATAATATTTTTATATTAGGTCGTCAAGTATGGAATTTATAAAGAAACAATATGATGTACTACAAATTTCATATTGTCCTACCAATAATATCTTTTATAAATATATTTTATCTTGTAGTAGCTTATAAAGGTACCATGTTGGATTGATCATCTTCAATTGAGCCTTCGTTAAGATTCTCCTACAACATGCAGATATATGAAAATAATATAATATATACTATGTAAGTAAAAAATGAAGGGGTACTTACATAGTCATCCAATGCATGTAATATACGTCTTGTAATTCCCACATTTTTTAATTGTGAAGATGATTCACGACTATTAACTATTGTTGGTATGATGGATCTTGAACGATCAAATAATGATGCAAAGGACTGCAATAAAAATGCTAAAAATGCTAATGATGCTAAAACGCTAATGGGATCAAAGGTCCTGAAACATATAGATAAATAATTACTCTCAATTTTTTCTTAGATGCTCTTAGTTTGTATCCTTGATGTATTCACAAAAAAATATATTAAAGTGTAACATATCTATACATTGAGCACACTTTTGCATGCATTCAGAAGCACTATAAGTGGTTAATATAAGTGAGTTATGAAAATATTAACTTACGGATAATAAGTTGCTGTGGCAGGTGCTCCAAAACCATTATAGTAACTTCTCGCTTGAAGACCTGTTTCTTGTTTACCATATTCTTCTTGAATCAATGGATAATGCATATCCGATTTTCTTTTATACAGTGTAGTAAACGCTTCAACCAAGTAATAAACAGATAAATTTTGGCAAGATGATGGATCATGCACTGTTGAAAAACGTAAATTTGGATTTGTAATATAATAATGATTGTTTCAATATACAATTTTGAGTATGCATAAAGCTTATTTCAATTCACATTCATACAAAGGAATTAATTTTTACAATGTTTCAATCTCCAATTTACTCCATATTACAATCTGATCTAATAATAATCTAATAATTTAATCTCTATGCCACTTGTGTCTTTATATAGCCTAACTGACCCGTTACCTTTAAATTATAAACATACGGTTATTGTCTAGCCTTGATTAACAGTAGGCTAAATACAAATATTTATCAATATTGACAAAATTCGAAGCTCAGTCGTTAAGTTCAAATTCTCTAGAATATTATAAATCGTTAATTCTCTTACAGATTGTTAAAAGTTGTTGATAGTTAACAAATATGCGATTCCTTTTTAGAATTAACAATAAAACAAGATAATTCTATCACTATCACAATTATTATTCGTAGCATTCTATCTCTAAAGAACTAAATTTTCATTCAAACTTTTGTACGATTCTACATATCGAGTATTAGCGGACTGTACGGATTTCTTGAAATGTCAATATATTTATAAATATGTTTAATATGTATCATTGTGCAAAAATATGTTGTTTCAAATCATTATATGCTCTAGTTATTCGTCACGCAATATATACTCTTATTATACGCAAGTTTATAGTAATTGGAATACATCTACTGTAACGAATGTATGTATTACATGCAATATGTACTATGGATATATGAACATAGTATTATGTTAACTTCATATTGTTATCTTCCTTATTTAATTAAGAAAAAAAAATAAATTATATTCTTAACAAAAAATAATATTAAAAAATAAAGTAAGTATAATAATGTTATCATTAAATGTATTACTTGAAATTATATAATTTCAAATAATCTTTCTTACAGCAATTATATAAATTTTTACAATATTTTGAATAAATAATATAACAATAATATAAAAAACAAATGAAATTTTACTATATAGTGTACACAAAATTTCATATAAATTTGTTTATTTTAATTTGTATTATTACATTTAAGATTAAGTATGTTTTTAACTGCTTCTTTATACTTAGTTAATGAATATTCATCTTCTCCTTGGTTTATAAGTTCGGAAACAGCAATTTTATATTCCGTGGCAGAAGGAATAGTTTCAATATCTACATTGGTTGACGTTTCTGGCCAGCTGTGTAATTTCATTAAAGTTTGACGACTTTTACTTTTGTCCCAATCATAATATTCCATATCTGGTTCAGATTTTTCAGCTTCCCAAGCTTCTGTACGCTAAATATATATATATAATAATTTGTTAATAATTGTTAATAAATAATTAACTGTTGAAGGTTTAGTGACTTACCCAAGATTCATGAAATAATGCTACAAGTAAATATTCAACGTACTCCAGATTTTGTTTTCTAGTTGGACATCTATCAGCTGTTATTGTTATTATATTTGTTTCTGGATTATATTTATTTCCAAGTAATCTAAGTAGTTTATCTTTAGCGTGACTATCCAAGTTAAGAGAATTTAAATTAACTTTTAAGCTAACAATTCTTGCAAGCGGTTCTCTTATAGTAGGAGAAGAATAACAATAATCTGAAGTAATAATATCTAATGGAAAATGTCGATTGCAGTCTTCCTCTGTTTCCAATTCTTTAGGCCAGCTAGTGCAAAATTGTTTTAAGGCTTCGCAATGTCTTTTTACAGCAGGTGGTGTAAGATGTAAAAAATTAGGTATTTTCATTAACTCAGCATTTCCATATTTACCAGGAGGTACATTAGTACCTTCTACATAACCCTGGCGTAAAGGAAGCGGAACAGTATATGGATTAAAAGTACGAGGACCAGGCCAAATCGATGGCCAATCTTGTTTAGTAGACATTTCATCACATGCTGGAGGAGGTAATTTGTAATCCTGTTTCTTTTTTTTAATAAACGCCTTTTTTTGAGGGATTAACTCTAATACACGAAATTCTGCGAATACAAACATTTTTAAAGATGAAACAATATTAAATTCAATTTTTATTAATCTAAAATTTAAATTATAATTTAATCAAACACACCTTTTGTAGTGGTAGGTTCTACATTTGTTGACACAGAAGTAGAATTAAACACCCTTAATAGTGGAAAAATAAGATTTTTTTCACAACGTCGTATAAATATCAACATATTTCAAGTACTATATAGTACTTTTAAAAATTATACGTATTGTTTATGTTTGTACAAATTTTTCCTTTTTTACATTTAAATATGTACTTTAAATTAATTAGTTATACGGTTACTACTATTACGGTTAAATAGGTTAGGATACCATTTATATTACTTTACTGCCATCTATCAAGGCTTTTTTGAAGAAAAAAATTGAAAATACTAGAAAAAAAATATTCCCTTTTTAAATGTAATTTATAATAATTTAATACTGTCAATAACATCCTATATTATCGATTAAATTAACATTTTATTTATTTTATATAAACAATAAAATACAATATTATTGTTTCATACATCATTTTTCTAAGTGAATAAATATAAATAAATGATTTGATAAATTTTTCGCGTCTTTTTTGTTGTGAATAAATTAATAACTTTTAAAACCACAATCGAACAAAAATCTTTTATCGCATGCGGATGTTAAGTTTCCTTTTACCGTCATAACTGATTCGGTCGCACAACGTATAAGTAAAAAAATCTTTTGTGTATAATATAAAAGATTTAGATTCTCTTTTAAATTGTATTTTATTAAAATATACTATAATAAATATTCTTTTAAATATTATTTTCCTTTGCAGAATATAAATATTACAACAAATAATATTCTTAACAATGGAAGAAGAAATATATTCAACAATTGGTGATTATGAAGACGAAACGACATTTCCTGAAATAGAAGATCTTCCCAAGGTAATTGGAGTTATTTATAAAAAGGATTGTCAAAATTTTCAAACAGAATATGTTGTCAATAAAGAAATGACATTGGACATAAAAAACGATCCAAATTATATCAACAAACAACTTAAAGGTAAGTTTTCTTTCTTTGATATTCATATTGATTTAAATAAGAGTCTTAAGTTATCATTTTAATCATTATTTTTTAGTTATTTTCATAAAAGTTCAAGTTTATCATTTCAAAATACGCGCCATTTTATAAAATTGGAATAGCAAAAATTGCGCTTGCGCACAATATTACTTTCTATTTCAGTCGAGCTTAAGAATCGTTGAGTAGCGTATGTTGTCATAAGTGATCGCTGATCAGTGATCTGTAATGTTATTGTTAGTGTAGAAAACTGTAGTGAATGCTTTATTGTATTTTATTATAGATAAGAATTACAATATTGGGATGATGGCATCCCCACGTCCGAAATCGCCACGTCCCCCAATTTCATCCAAGAAAGATGAAAAGGAAGAAAGTTTTTGGGATAAAATTGGAACTCTTGGTCGAAAGAAACGAATCAAAGAAGGTATGACTTGGACATATAAAATTATACGTGACATCATATCTATGCGTTAAATATTTCCCTTATTTGGAGAGTACTTCTATTTGTCAACATTTTAAATATATGATTAGGAAAATACAATTTATTCATTTATAATTATTTACTATCTTAGAGATATGTCAGTTTTAATTTTGATATATAAATAAATAAATATTTAAATAATAATTTAATTTAATTTTATATATGTGTTTCTATATAGATTATAATTTATTCATATAAACATTAATTAATATAATTATTTACTCTTATATTAAGAGATAATATTTATTATTATTATTTCACTTTTATTAATAAATATTGTTTGTATTAATTAGTACAAGAAGTTCAAGAGGAAGGTAAATATGCTATTGATTCACCCGGATATGCTGCTACAGCTGATATGCCACCAGAAGAATATGCTCTCGACGAGAATGAAGAACGTTCAATGATTGAACCAAGAGCATTAGAAGATTCAAAGCTTCAAGAACTTATATATGTTCTATTAGAATGGATCAATGATGAACTAGCTAATCAACGTATTATTGTAAAAGATATTGTAGAAGATTTGTATGATGGACAAGTATTACAAAAGCTTTTAGGTATAATTATTATATTAAATTTCATTGTTTCTTATTTTCTAATTTAATTTTTATATATTTTTAATATTTCAATGTTTAATATAAAAAAAAAGTTGAAATTAATTATATATAGAGAAATTGACTGGAGAAAAATTAGATGTACCAGAAGTGACACAGTCAGAAGAAGGACAAAAACAAAAATTGGCTGTTGTTTTGGGAGCTATCAATCGTATATTAGGACGATATCCACCTTATAAATGGAGCGTAGAATCTGTCCGTTCTAAAAATATTGTCCCTATTTTACACATATTAGTTGGTTTAGCACGACAGTTTAGAGCACCTGTCAGATTGCCAGAGAGAGTAGCAGTTCAAATGGTAGTTGTGAGAAAGAAGGATGGACAATTAATGCACAGAACTGTACGAGAAGAAATTACTTCTATTTATGATGATCTGGGAATGCGTTGTGAGAGAGACGCATTTGACACATTGTTCGATCATGCACCAGATAAACTTGCCGTAGTTAAACAAGTAAGTATATCTATGATAAAGTATATTTTATATAAATTTGTTAAAAAATATAATTATACAACTTTTATTCTAGTCTTTGATTACTTTTGCCAATAAACATTTGAGCAAAGTACATTTGGAAGTAACTGATCTTGATACACAATTTCATGATGGTGTCTTCTTGACGTTATTATTAGGACTTTTAGAAGGATTTTTTGTTCCATTAGGAAGCTTTCATTTGACACCAAAAACGCATGATCAAAAAGTTCACAATGTTTCTTTTGCATTTGATATTATGCAAGATATTGGACTACTTAAACCTAAGGCCAGACCTGAAGGTTAGTAATTTATCATAATGTTTTTATTAATATTTTCATTTTTGTTTTTTTATGTTTTGATTTTTTTTTCTTTATGTTTCTTTTACAGACATTGTGAATTTGGACTTGAAGTCCACCCTTCGTGTTCTGTATAATCTTTTTACTAAATACAAAGGTCTGAATTGATATATTTTTTTTATAAAAGTAAATAAGAGAGGAATATATATATATATATGTATAATGTTGATAGATCAAATATGATTGTGTTAATTTATGTTTAATAGCGTAATAACTCAAAAGTATGTCACGTATTTATAAATTTTAACAATCGGAAAACTGCCATTAATCGTAATAATATTTATCTAACAATAAGTGAGTTATTTTAAATTGATCTTATATTTTAATATAATGAATTTGTCTATTTTCTATAGAACATGAAAGTCATGTGCCTTCTAACGTAATAATTGAACCAAAGTATATTAGAATTATTTTTGTATACTCACAAGGAATTAAAAGAAATGCTGTTAACGTAAAATCCGTTTAATAGATTTTTTCTCTCATTATTTGTATATGTGATTTGCATATAAAAAAAAAAGTTAAAAAGTAATTTTTAAGTAAAACTTAGAAACGTTATTTGATGTAAAGGAAGTTATTTTGTTTCATTTAATTTTCACATAAGTTGGTAAGATAATAGGACTTGTTCGAAAGGAGATCGTATAACTGACTAACGTATATGGTAAATTGAATCTTTCTAGAGTTTATCTACTTAAAATAGATATGAACAGTGATTTGGAAAGATTTTCTTAACTACTAAATGCTTTTATATCGATCGTACATATATATTCATGTACAGTAGGATGGAAATGTACGTAACGTTACGTATATGTACCCTATTATACTCATCAAATGAAAATTTATGAAAATCACGAATAGTTGTCTCGTCGTAACTCTTCGATCAACTGTACATTTAAGTTAGACATTGATTTAAGATAAATTGTTACTATAATTTACGGATAACAATGACAAAACTGGAAATATATCGAGCTTACGCTCGTTTTGTAAAACGCATGCTTCTTCTTGGTGGAATCTACCCTATGAAAAAAAGTTCATTTCTTTATCGACAGTTGCCTGTTTTAACGTTATTAACTAGTTTTGTTATGTTTTATGGCACCGTCAAATTTTGTTTACATAATTTTAGTAATTTAAGTGTTTTTACTAAAGGTCTAAGTCTCGTAGGCAGTTTCTCTTTGATGATCGTAAAGGTACTCATGATCGATATTTAAAATACTTTGCTTTTTATCTCATTTAATTTTTTTTTTAGGCATTTATGTTCATTATATATCGTAAACAATTTTATGAATTACATAATACCCTCGAATTAATGCATAATAAAGTACTTGAAAATGATCAATTTAAACCGATCGTATTATCGACGATCAATTTATTTCGATATCCAGCATACATGGTATATTATTTAATATTAGGTACCATGAGTTTATATATTTTTGCACCAATTATTATTATTGGATACGAAGGTATCAAAGGTATACAACCTAAACATTATGGTCTTCCATTTCTAACCAATTTTCCATGGATCAATGGAACACCTGGAATCATTTATCAAATACAATTTTTGTTCGAGACACAATGCATTTGGTTTATTATATTTGTTACCGGCGGCGTTGACTCTTCTTATGGATTTTATTTATTTCAAATGATTGGTCTATTGCGTGCCATGTCATTCGAATGTGAAAACGCATTTAAATCTTCTTACAAACTCAAGAATATCTTGCACAATTGCATAAAAAAACAAGTAAAGTTGTTACGTTGTCGTGACATTATTCAACAAATTTATGGACCCATTGTGCTTGATTTAATGCTTACTAATGCTATTGTCTTATGTGCACTAATATTTCAAGCATTTCAGGTAAAAAATCAAATGTTATTATTTTGTTTAATATGTTACAATCTAAATGTAATGAAAAGTATGATGTTATTTGTTAAGACAGAGATGACTGCAGGTAAAATGCTTTTATTTGTAATTTATGGATTATTGAAAACTATTCAAGCGTTTATGTACTCCTGGTATGGAAGTATTGTTGCTTCAGAAGTATGTATGATTATTGTATTTAAAAAAAAAAAATATATATATATATACAGAATGTTTCGTAATATGTGAGACATACTGTAAATATATATATATATATATTTTGTTTAAATTTAGCATTTATATCCTAATTTTGCATTTTAATTTAGAGTGAAGCATTTCGACGAAGTGTATATTGTAGTAAATGGTACGAATACGGTGATAATATAACGCTTATGAAAGATGTTTTGATCATATTGTCACAAAAACCGATCGTAATTGTGGCATGTCATTTTTTATATATTTCATTGAATATCTTTATTAAGGTAAAAAAAAAAAAGAAAAAGAACGCAAATAGCACAATTAAATATTAGATATAATTTATTGGAAAATCATATTCTTCAACAATTGATTTTTTTAAAAATAACATTTTTTAATTTCTAGATCCTTAACACATCAATGTCTTATTATTTTTTATTGCAAACATTTGACGAAGGTGATACAATGAATTAATGAAAGTATAATTAGTTTTTAAAGTATTGTCTTGAATAAAGTTTTAGCTTGAAATCAATGGAACAGTGAATCCATTGATTTTTTATTTTAATATCATGCGAGTAGTTTGGATATATTCAATTAAAATAAAAAATAAATTATCATAATATATTTATATGTTTGTGATACGTTTTATAAATGACCAAAATTAGTAAAACATCATAATAATTATATATAATAAATTAATATAAAATTAATAAGTTTAGTTTTGAAACAAAATAATCATAGAATCATTAAAAAACAATCTTACCTTATGTTATATGTGTTTCGAAGTTATTTATTGTTTGTCAAAGATTTGTTCTTACTGAGATTAATTTTCTTTTTGCAATTTAAACAGACACTTTTTTATTTTTCCTCAAACGATATGATGATAGCGTAGAGGTAAAAATGATGGTACAAATCTAGGTCTAAGTTTCCTTCAAAGATATGAAGAATATGAAATTGATACAGCTCAATTCTACTAACATATATTTTGTTAACATGTTAGGTCGATGAAGATTGATCAGATATCGAAACGTATTTATTCTCGATGTATTCACGCAACTCTTGATGGTCCCCTAAAGAGAATATAGCCGTGGTGATTTAAACGTTTATTAAATTGTATAGCCAGTTTGATTCTCTTCAATGCATCTAGGATTTGTAACTTTGTAAGTACTTGATAGCTAAGAAAAAATCGATTACATACATTAAAAATGTGTCATGCGAAAGAGGAGGGAAAAGAAGAGGAGAAGGGTAGTCAGGAGGATTGTCAAACGTAATTTATATAAAATTGCAAACGAGTATCTACCTTTCCGCAAGTTGGCGTCGTTGATAAGAAAGATTGTTACAGTGAAGCATTCATTGGAACGATAGGCACCAATTTCTAAAAGTAAATTGCTGCTATTTACGTACCGGGAATGACAGAACAAGTAAAGTTATATAGGAATTACGCTCGTTTCGTTAAGCGTTTGCTTCTTCTTGGTGGAATATGGCCAATGATAGATAAAGAAAGTTCATATTTTTATCGTCGTTTACCGATTTTTGCAGTATCATCGGGGATCATGATGTTTTTCGGTGTATTGCGATTCTGTCAAGATAATATAGGAAATTTGAGCGTATTCACTAAGGGTTTAAGTCTCGTAGGAAGTTTTTCATTGATATCGTTGAAGGTACAATATAATCAATTTAAAAATATTGGAAATATGTCACTTGTGATTAAATTTATAAATCCATCAATAATTATAGATTGATTATATTCATTTAAGGCTCTGATGTTTATTATATACCGAAAGCAGCTTTGTGAACTGAATGATATCCTTGATCCAATGTTCGAGAAAACGCTTGAAAATCCACGACTTAGACCTATACTTTTGTCCCTATTGAATCTTTTTCGTTATTTTTCTTATACTTTTTACCTTTTAATCATGGGTATAGTCACATTATACGTCTGTACTCCGCTTATATTCATAGGATACGAAGCTATCAAGGATATATATCCTAGACGTTACGGTCTTCCATATCCAACGAGTTTTCCATGGATTGATGGGACTCCTGGAATATATTATCACATACAATATATTTTCGAAACACAATACAGTTGGTTCGTCGTATTTATAACGAGCGGAGTTGATTCCTTATTCGGATTTCATATTTTTCAAATAGTTGGATTATTCCGGGCATTATCTTATGAATGCGAATATTCCACGAAATCTAATCCTAACGAGTTACACAATGTTATTTATAATTGTATTAAAAAACATATTCAACTTTTACGATGTCGCGATATTATTCAAACTGTTTATGGGCCGATCGTATTCAACTTGGTATTAACCAGTGCTATGGTTTTATGTTCCTTATCCTTCCAAATATTTAAGGTAACATTTTTTTGCAATCAATATGTTTACTTTTCACAATTGTTTTTTTATTATAATATTATATTTTATTTCATAATATATTTCGAATGAAAAAACAAATGTATATTTCTTTATCGTCTTTAAATTAAAGACAGAAATGACGATAGCGAAAACACTTTTATTCATTGTTTATGGCGTTCAGAAAACAACGCAAACTTTTATATACGCGTGGTGTGGAAGCACCATTTTATCAGAGGTAAATATTTTTATATAATAAATATTTATATACGTAGGTGGGTTGAAAAGTTTTGAGCCTCAACAAACAAAAAATTATTTTTGAAAAAAAAAAAAAAAAGTAAAAGTTATTTTTTAATCGAAAAAATTGTTTCTATGTTAAACTTCAAACTTTCAAACCCACCGACGAATATGTAATTTTATTAATATATTTTTAATTTTTTGTTGTATAAAATTTGATTCTTTAAATTTAATTACGTGTACGTCAGGCTGAAGACTTTCGCAATAGGATTTATTCTTGTAAATGGTACGCATGCAATAATGTATCTATAATGAAAGGAATTCTTCTTGTATTAACACAAAAACCAATGGTATTGATAGCATGCCATTTCTTTTCTATCTCATTGGATATGTTTATTAAGGTAGACGTAATAATTTCGATTTTATAATTAACAATAAGATAGATTATATATAAAACAAAAAGTCTTTAAGATTAAATGTATATATATCATTCATTTTTTTAGATTCTCAATACGTCGATATCGTATTATTTTCTATTACAAACATTTGAAGAAATGAATCCACGTTAATTAGTTATTTATTTTTATCTAGATTTTTATAATAGTATAAATTTGTAGATATAAATTATATTGTAAGATAAAAATATATAATTTTCCATTTATTACTTTAAATGCTATTTGAAATTTTCTATTATTTTGAATTATCCACAGTAATATCTTAATTTTTAGTTAAGTAAATTTTAATAATTGTCTAATTACATTATTTCAATTACAATTTATTATCTAAATAATATATGTATTTGTATATACGATTGTTTGACTTTATTTGTATTAATTAAAGAAAATGATTCTTTTTACAATTAATATAACGCATAATTCATCATACTCACTCATACGTCACATTCGTAATACTCATTGAATGGATCATTTTTCTAATAAAACACAACACATGTTAATTGATTATTAGGGAACATACTATTGCTTCTAAATCATCGAATGATTTGACAAGCATTCGCTGTCAAATCAATAGAAAAAAATGTTCAGGCAACTCATACTTTTGTAACGATCTGTTAAGTGGTATCATTGTACATTAGTATAACGAGTTAGAGAAAACTTTATAACTACATGATATTTTCAAATCGATTGCATAAATGACGAATATGAGTTTAGAAGGGAACACAAAGAGTACCCGTTAAAAAATCGCATGAGATATCGTATAAAGTATCACTCGTTAGAAGTAATATTCTGTTATAATGCATAATCTGCATAAATGACGAATATGAGCTTAGAAGGGAACACAAAGTGTACCCTTAAAAAATCGCATGAGATATCGTATAAAGTATCACTCGTTAGATGTAATATTCTGTTACGATATCCAAAGCATTGACCTCACGCATTAGATCGCTTATTTTATATTTTTCTCAATGATGACAGATCAACTTGCTACGTATCGTCAATATGCGTTCTTTATCAAACGTTTACTTTTTTATTCTGGTTTATGGCCTGTAAAAAATAAAAAGAATTCATATTTCTATCGACATTTACCTATTTTAGCGATAGTCTCTGCTGCTATTTTGTTTTATGGTTGTGTGAGATTTTGTAGAGATAATCTTGATGATGTTAAAACATTCACAAAAGGAACTACTCCTTTAGGAAGTATGGTTGTAGTAATTATTAAGGTAAGCTAGATCTCTCAAATAATATTACCCGATCGTTCATATTCAATATTTTGGATATTTTTATTATTTTTCTTTTTCCTAGGTACTAATGTTCTTTTTGTATCAAGAAGAAATACGGGAATTGCATTTGAATTTGGAATCAAATTTCGAAGAGATAATTGAAAAAACATATTGTCGACCAGTCCTATTTGGAATGCTCAATCTTTTCAAACGTCCTGCATACATTTTTTATTATTTAACAATTTTAACAATAATCATGCTTACATTTACGCCTTTTTTATTGATCGTTTATGAAGCTATCATGAACATAAATCCAAGACATTACGTTCTTCCCTATCCTGCAACTTTTCCATGGATCGATGGGAGTTTCGGTATAAAATACGAATTACAGTATCTTTATGAAATTCAAGTGAGTTGGTTCGTAATATTTGTAACTAGTGGAGTTGATACGGCTTATGGATTCTATATATTTCAAATGGTCGGAATATTACGTGTTATGTCATTGGAATGTGAAAAGATTGGAAAATCATCCGACGAGCTTGATATTATTTTATTACATAATTGTATCAAAAAACAAATTTTACTGTTACGTTGTCGAGACATAATCCAAAATGTTTACGGACCTGTGGTATTAAACTTGATTGTCAGCAGTGTTGTTGTTTTATGTGGGTTAATATTCCAAGTATTACAGGTACCATTCATTAGTTTATTATGTAGTTATTAATAAGTATTTAATCTGCATATGTGAAAAATACAAAAGTTAATTAATTATTTATTCATTTATCTAAATCAATTATAAAATGTAAAATATCATTATTATTATTAGCGATTGGGTGTAATAATTAAATGTATTATTCATTGAAAAGACAGAGATAAGCGTAGGAAAAGCTGTCGTGGCCATTTTTTATGGGATAGTGAAAATGTCTCAAGCATTCATGTATTCTTGGTACGGAAGTATCTTGGTTACCGAGGTATTCTCATTATCTTCAATAATATTATTTATTTTTTATATTTATTTTTCATTGTTATTATATTAATTATTTTTGTTTGTTTGTATATAGAGTGAAGCGTTTAAACGCAATCTTTATTGCAGCAAATGGTACCAATATCGAAACATTCAACTGATGAAAAGTGTTCTTTTAATATTGGCACAGAAACCGATTATATTAACTGCATGTCATTTTTTTTATATCTCAATGGATCTTTTCGTTAAGGTTAATAATTATACTTATATATTATATAATATATCAAATATTATTATTATTTTCACTTGTTTATAAATCCTGTTCCTGTTTTTTTTTTTTTTTCAGATATTGAATACATCCTTGTCATATTATTTTTTGTTGCGAACTTTCGATGAAACTAATGATAAAAATTCAGTTGTTTCATAATATCTGTTTATGGATATTTGATTTTTAACAATATAATAATACACGATGTATATATTATATACATAAATGTAATTTATAAATGTAAATTATAAATTTGTATTTTAAGATTAATAATTTCTTTTGTAATTAAAACAAAATATTACACACCGCGATCAATATATTTCATATACATGTATTTGTTTCTTTTTTTTTTTTAGATAAATTCGTTCCACACAACTTTATTCTGGACTAATAATCATGCATAAAAAAAAAACCAAACAGAAAATAATTATCTGGTGTTTACTGCAAGATGAACAAAAAAGACGAATTTTTCAGAAACGTGACGCGAGTGTAACTGTATTTTTTCAAGGTTTAATATAATAAATTAATATTAACATGCAATTTATTGATAAACTTACAATTTAAATGCATCGTATTATAATCCACAATTCATATAATTTAAAGTTATCTTATAAAAAAATCAAAGAGATTACAATACTGTATAAGACACAGTACTGCTTGAAAATGGTGAAATAATTTGACGAGCAAGTAGAAGTTCTTGTTTCTGTAGCAATTTTCAGTAAAAACACAAAAATATGGAGAACTTTATAACCACCTAACGTTCTATATCTATTACGTAGAATATAAGTTGCACGTCTATAAGATACGGGATATTACTTGTAAATCATCGAGTAATTTAACGAGCAAGTAGTTCATGCTTCTCTAGCAATTTTTCATAATATCATAGATTCTATATAAAGAGTTATGCAGAATAATAACCACCCGATATTACTAAATTGATTGCATAAATGACAAATGTGAGATCGTCGAAGTAAATAGAAAATGTACCTGCCAGGCGTCCTATCTAATATCGTATCAAATAACGCTTGTTAGAAGTAATACTCTGGTCACGATATCCAAGACATTGACCTTTTGTTAGATCTCTGATCTTTCAAGATCATCTGATTCTTTCTTTCTTTCTTTTTTCTTGTCTTTTTTTTTTTTTTCAATGATGACAGAGCAATTGGCTATGTATCGACAATATGAGTGTTTCATAAAACGCATATTACTGTGCGCCGGTTTATGGCCTGTAGAAAATAAAGAGAGTTCACTTATCTATCGACATTTATCTATTTTAACTGTATTTTTAGGTACATTTATGTTTTTTGGTACATTAAAATTTTGTTTAGAAAATCTTGACGATATTAAAGTATTGACGAAAGGACTCAGTCCTTTAGGAAGTTTTGCCTTAGTAGCTGTTAAGGTTGGTGAGATAAAAATATATTCGATCGTTCGTGTTCACAGTAATGAGAATGTAGTTTAATTTTTTCCCTTTTCTTTTTTAGGCATTCATGTTTTTTATATATCGAAAGGAATTACGCGAATTGAATTTAAATCTTGAATTGATGTTTGAAGAAGTCCTCAGCAAAGCGCATTATCGACCAATTGTATTGTCATTGTTAAATCTTTTTAAACGTCCTGCATACATTGTCTATTATTTGACCATGTTTGTAATACTTTTGTATATATGCAAACCATTTATATTGATCGTCTATCAAATAACGAAGAACATCAATCCAAAACATTACGCTCTTCCCTATCCTGCCACTTTTCCATGGATTGACGGAACACCGAATATACTTTATCAAGCACAGTTTATTTTGGAAATAGTCATCGGTTGGTTCGTGGTTTTTGTTACCAGCAGCGTTGATACCATTTACGGATTCTACATTTTTCAAATTACTGGAATTTTACGTGCCATGTCTTTCGAATGCGAAAAACTTGGAAAATCATCTAAGGAACTCAATGTCATTCTATGCAATTGTATTAAAAGGCATATATTACTTCTGCGTTGTCGTGACATCATTCAAAAAGTTTATGGACCAGTTATGTTGTGCTTAATAGTGAGCAGTGTCATCGTCCTATGCGCCTTAATATTTCAAATGTTTCAAGTATGATTAATATTTTTATATATTCACTTTTTTTTTCTTGATTTATATATGAATGGGTTGAAAAGTTTTCAGTCCTACGTAGAAACAATTTTTTTTTATTTATAAAAAATAAATGTTTTTTTTTATTGAGGCTCAAGACTTTTCAACCCACCCACGTACATATATTTATTTATTAATCCTCCATATTATATACGATACCTAACGTTGAAATTAACATTTTCTTCAATATTCATCTTTTTTCTTTTTACTTTTGTGATTATAAAATAATTTTGAATACAATATTATTTACTAATATTTTCTTTATAATGTTTATCATTTTTTTTTATCTTTGAAATTCGTTCGGAGGGTTAAAAATATTACTTTGAATATTAGCGATTTATTATAATAATTGTACGTAATATTTATTGAAAAGACAGAGATAAGTTTAGGAAAAACTATTCTGTTTCTTATTTATGGGATGATGAAAATGACTCAAGCATTTATTTATTCTTGGTATGGAAGTATTCTTGCTATCGAGGTATTCATTAATTCAATTAATATAATTAATCATCTTTTTAGATTCATTTCAAGTATTTGTTTTCTATAAATATATAGAGTGAAACATTTCGACGCAGTGTTTATTGTTGCGAATGGTATCAAGATGGAAACATTAAACTGATGAAAGGTATTTCTCTTGTATTGGCACAAAGACCGATTGTACTGACAGCATGTCATCTCTTTTGTATTTCATTGGATCTGTTTCTTAAGGTAAACATTGTTATTATACAAATTGTAACATATATAATGTCTTTTATTTCCATTCGCGTGTGCCTTTTCTTATCTCTTTTTTTTTTTTTTGTAGATACTCAATACGTCATTGTCGTATTACTTTTTGTTGCAAACATTTGATGAAAATAATGATTAAATAAAAATATTCAAATAGATAGATACAATTTAAGTATTATATAATACGGGTACATGATATGTAAGAAATAAACAAATTATTATCAAATATAACGTAGATACAAACGTACATACCATGGTTTGTTTTTATGTAATACTTATGATTATTGATTAATATTTTATTTTTTATAGAAAAAATACAAGTAATTTAAACTTAAAGTAATAATTATTGAAGTGAAAACGTCTTTAGAATGGGTGTGATTTGAAAAAATGAAACGCGCTGATGTAGTGGGAAAACGAAACCAGGATGTGGTGGGGAAAGGAAGCGGATGATGTAGTGGGGGAAAGAATTTAATTTTTATCATTATTTATAAAAATATTTGATTCGCAAACATTTTTTAAAGTGTTTTATTATTTACTTTATTTGTAATTATTATAAAAATGTGCGCCTGTATGAGTGCAACCCTCCAGACACGCTTTGAAAATGTTGCTTACGAGCGCCATCTGTCGGGACGGAATTTTTTTCTGCCCGAAATATAGACAACCCGTCATACATACGTGTATAAACAGTTTTGACTGCAAAAAAATTCCGTCCCAGTAGATGACGCTTGCAAGCAACATTTTCAAACTGTGTCTGGAGGGTTGCATAAGAACAGGCGTGTATTTTTATAATTAAATTAATAATTAAATAAATAATTACAAATTAAAAGTATAAATAATATTATAGTAATATTATATAATAAATCATCCTCGAAACTTGTTTATTTGAAGGTTTCACTTCTAACTTGTGTGATATTTATATTATAAAGAATACAATATAATATAAATATGTACACATATAATTTTAATAATGTGTGCGTTAATTTTTGTAAATCGTTCTATATAAAATTGGACTTTCGATTCATCATGTATAATATAAAATGACTACAAAATAATTATTTAATAATTACTATATGACGAATAGAAATAATTTATCTGTCATAAGCGAGATTTATTTTCAAGGTTTCAAAAATTGATATTAATATTAATAAGTATTATAGGTGTATCGTAATTTTGTGAAATATTTTACATAAAGTTTGATTTTGGATTGAAAATTATATATAAAAAGATCTAAAAGTAATTATTTAATAATTACTGTATGAAAAATAGATACTTATTTCAAAGGTTTAATATAAATTACTATTAATTTTAATATGTAATTTATTAATAAACTTACGATTCGAATACACCGTTGTTTAAATTGTTATTCAGATAATTTGATTTAATTGTAAGATCAAAGCACTAGGAACGTCTAAGTACGTTTTGTTTTGTGGTTTAGTAATCATATCGTATACATGTTTCTATAAAGGGTTCATCATAGAACGTATATTTGTTGAAAATGATCGAGTAATTTGACGAACATATAGCTCATGATTTTCTAGCAAATCTTTGATAGAACCTTACATTTTACTTAAAAGGTTACGGAAAACTTAGTAACTACCTGATATTTCTAAATTGATCGCATAAATGATAAATGTGGGCATCGAAGCGAGTAGAAAATATAGCTTTAAGTGATCGCATGATATATCGTATAAAGTATCGCTTGTTAGAAGTAATATTCTGTCACGATATCAGAGGCATTGACCTCACGTGTTAGATCACTGATTTATTCTTTATCTTGATTATGGCAACAGAACAATTGGCTATGTATCGGCAGTATGCTTCTTTTATCAAACGCATGGTCTTTTGTTCTGGTTTATGGCCAGTAACAAAAACCGAGAGCTCATATTTCTATCGACATTTACCTATTTTGACTATATTTTCTGGCACTTTTATGTGCTACGGTGGTATAACATTTTGTATTGAAAATCTTGACAATATCAAAGTATTTACCAAAGGACTCAGTCCTTTAGGAGGCTTTGCTTTAGTAGTTGTAAAGGTATGTGGGTATCCGATCATCTATATTTAAACAATAAGACTTACATTGAATTATATATTGAAAATATATTTTTTCTTAAGGTGATGATGTTTTTCTTATATAGAAAACAATTACGCGAACTGAATTATAATTTAGAATCAATGTTCGAGGAAATCCTCGAGAAAATCCATTATCGGCCAGTAGTATTCTCCCTGTTAAATTTATTTCGACGTCCCGCATACATGATTTATTATTTGATGGTATTCACAGTACTCTCGTATATATGCAGAGCATTTTTGTTGATAATTTATCAAATAATAAAAAATATAGATCCGAAATATTATCCTCTTCCCTATCCTGCTATTTTTCCATGGCTCGATGGAAGTTTCAATTTTAGATATCAAATACAATTTCTCTTTGAGCTTCAATTTGGTTGGTTTATGGTGTTTGTGACTAGTGGAGTTGATACGGCCTATGGATTCTATATATTTCAAATGGTCGGAATATTACGTGCAATGTCTTTGGAATGTGAGAAAGTTGGAAAATCATCCGACGAGCTTGATATTATTTTATTACGTAATTGTATTAAAAAAGAAATTTTACTGTTACGTTGTCGCGACATAATCCAAAACGTTTATGGACCTGTGGTATTAAATTTGATCGTCAGCAGTGTTATTGTTTTATGTGGGTTGATATTTCAGATGTTTCAGGTACGACTAAATAATTTATTCATTTTGTTTTACATCGTATCTACTTAATATATTTTTAATTAACAAACGTTGATTCACAAACGTTGAATCAAACATTGATTTAATATTCTTTCTTTATTTTTGTTAATTAACTGAAAGATTAAAAATATTATTGTTGATATTAACGATTAGGTATAATAATTAAATCTATTATTCATTGAAAAGACAGAGATAAGTATAGAGAAAGTTGTTATGGTCGTTCTTTATGGGCTATTAAAAATGACCCAAGCTTTTATATATTCTTGGTATGGGAATATCTTAGCAGTTGAGGTAAGAATCATTTCGAATAATTCTTTATTATAGTACTTATTTTTAATATATTTTTTTTTCTATTTACAGAGTGAAACATTCCGGCGTAATGTTTATTGTTGCGGATGGTACGAAGACGGTAACATCAAACTAATGAAAGATGTACTTTTTATATTAACACAAAAACCAATTGTATTAACAGCCTGCCATTTCTTTCACATCTCATTGGATCTTTTCGTCAAGGTAATGATTTATTTATTATTTTATTTTCTTTACAAATATTATTTTTGTTTCTTTCTTTTCCAGATATTAAATACATCTTTGTCATATTACTTTTTGTTGCAAACCATCGATGAAACTTATAATTAAATTGTACATTTTTATGCATATAAAATAAAAAAAAAATGCACTAAAAATATGATTTTTTTCATAGAAAATCTTACAAATTGTTATTTCAAACACTTGTTTAAAAAAGTTCAATAGGATCGAGGATTTATGTGATCATACAATATAAATTATTTTTTTTTTAATTTAATATTTTACTTTACACAAGGATATAAAATATTTTGTTGTGTTATTATACACGTAATTGAATTTCAAATTATTGTATTAGAAAATGTAATGAGTTTACAAGCGTGTAGAAGAAACAGGACAGGATCGATAAAACGATCAGTCATCGGTTAGAACGATCAAATGGTATATATTATGAAAAATGCATAAGTTTTAGCATGAATACGTTATGTTCTTTCGAGTCAGATGGTTATTCGCTAGTTCGCATAACAGCGAGACCCGAATTCATGGAAGATGTTACCGTGACACGCGATGTTCGGGTACGAACCAAATCGCTGACAACACAAAACGATAACTTTTTTCTTCAGTTCTCTTCCATTCGAAGAACTTTGAGCATCTGTTACTTTTCCTTTTCACCAAACTCAAATTGCGCGTTCCACTTCTTTGTATTTGAAATCTAATTCAATGTCTGTAAGAATTCCTTCTGAGGAATCGAAAAATGAATCAGATTTCAAAGTCGTTAATACAAAAGAAACAATCAGTAATATTAAATCTAGTAAAAGTAACATATTCGACGTTTATACAACTATTTTTCGACTTATTATTGTACACTGGATACCACGTGTTTGTCTTTTGGAAGAGGAAAAAAGGGAGAAGGAACTGGACGACTTAATTTTACCTAGCAACACCCAATGGCGCCATCAAGTTTATTACAAACTGGTTGAATTACAACGAGAAAGAGACGTTGAAATAATTGAATTGGAGTAAGGATGTTTAACTTTTATTTCATTAATATGCATAAATCAATACACACACATTTAATTACGATAAGAATGAGAGAGATGCACGAAATATGATATTTAAACAATAAAGCCGAATAGAATTATATTTTTGTTAACATTCTTATGTTATTTATCATATACTTGATGCTGTCAAAAATGTTTAAAATCTGTCATTATGAATAATTTTATAACCGTGTGGTCACGTGCAGTTCTTCGTAGAAACCATAATTAAATATTCATTAAATTAATTCCCGATTGTAAAAATAATTTTGAAAATAATGGAATTTAATTCGTATATTGATTTAGTTTTTTTAAATAAAACTAAATGTTGAAGGTATAAATGTTACAGGTTAGTATGCAGTAATAACCAGTAATTTTATCGAAATGTTTCAGTTTAAATGATTACAAAATTCCTGACATTCGATATATTCATCAATATTTGATATCTTTTAAATAAGTTTAATGTAATACGAAGATTCTGATGCAAAACTAATTGTGTATCTAATTGTAAATAAAATATATTTTTTTAATGTAAATAAAATAACTAATATTTATGTAATATTTTAAATAGAACCTAATTAAGAACAGAGAGTCGAGTCTTTAATAATTATTTATACAAATTGCAAGTTTAAATGTGATCTCTCTCTTAAAACATGTATCTTTTTAGAGAAGATAAATTAGTCTTTTAAAAGTTTTGAACAATGTAGTACGTTGACTCTGATGCAAATTAATTTCTACATCCTCGATAATGGTGGAAACAAGAAGAAAGGATGAAAAGGGAACGAAATTAAAGGACCCCCAAGATTACGAATGGAGTCCAGGAAAATTGGAACGAATCGTTAAAGCTAAAATATTGAAGGAGGATGATTCGAGTAGTTTGTTAGCAACATTTAGTTCCAATGGTTCTATGACAGAAACTTACATCGAACCAGGATGGCGTATCGAAGATATTTTGTTAGCAGCTAAAGTACTTGAAAATAAGGAAGAAAGTCAGCCTTTTTATTCCAACGAAGCTGAGATGAGACGCGTATTTGGACTTGTATACGATGTTTTACGATGTAAGTTATCTAATTAGAAAAACAAAGAAACAAAGAAGAAATCTTTTATTTATCCAATCTTTTGATCATTATTTTCTTTTGTACAAAATATTAGGAATATAATATTAAAAATTAGTATCCATCAATAATATTTTCTTTATAGGTATTAATTATTCTGTTATTTTCTTTTCTTTAGATAAAAATGTTCTGAATTACGTTCTGCAAGATATTGGATTCTGGTCGCGTAATCATGAATTAAAAAATCGTGAAAGGATCGTCTGGTTATTGCTGTACGATATGCAAGGAAGAAAGTTTTCCAGACGCGGTGATATCGTTACTATCAAGACACGAGACCGAATTTTTAAAGTATATATATATCATAAATAAATATCTATGAAATTGGTTAATCTCATTATTTTTTATTTTATTTTTTAAAACATCAATGTTTAGGCAATTGGTTTGAAAAACATCGAGAATGCTTTATTAGAAGTTAGGACACATTTAGCAGCCAGTATGTCTCGTTTGCGAATAGCTGAATCAGCACTTACACTTGGTAAATTAATATTAATATTAATCATAACAATCTATTCTAAGTTATGATAATAATTAGTTTATTTTAAAATATAAACGAACTTATTTATCTGAAAAATAATATAAATAGATAAGCTATTGCCGAAACATCTGCGCAGTGGCGAAGGTATTGTTTGGTCTGAAGAAAGTGCTATTGCTTCTGGTTGGATCAACACATCTAACGGTAGCATAAGTAAAAAAGAATTGATCAAAGAATTATCAAATAAAGTTCAATTAGAACTATGTGAAAATTGTGAAGTTGCTGAATTGGATGAGAATATTTATGTTTTCGATTCGTTTTGTCCAAAAGTAATTAACATACACGAGAAAGCACGCGAGAGGGTTGCTTGTTCCAGTCTCGTTCGTGAACATCGATTTATATTTTTGGTAAATATATTCTAATTATAATTATTCGACAAACTGATTAATTGATTCTTTATTATATATTTTTTATAGGAACGATCGTTATGTCTTGGAGCAGCTGCCATAGCTGAAGCTATGCGAATAGGTCGATTATGTGGTCCCGTAGTTTTAACTCATTCTATAGCACCACGTCATACGGGATATTTAGCGGAACTTTTATCAAGTATAGAAGGTGCTGGTAGACTTTTAGCCTTTGGCACAGGTGATCGTCGTTACGAATACGAAGATTATTTAAAAAAGCTTGGAATTACTTTACAACAATGTCGAGTATTTTCGGAAAAGTAATTCGCATTTGATGTGATCAACATTTTGTCGATTTTTTGAAAATTATTAAAAGAAAATTGATATATGTTATTTTAAATTATAATTTCAGATATATTTCTCCACCCCCATCGGTTGAAATAGATAGAGCTACTGTTGTTTTAGCTACACCACCATCCAGTTACATCGGAGTCAAGGATATTGTTGATCTCGTTGTTGCTCGTGGTGGTGATACCAAATTATTAGAATCATTAACTAATACCGACGATGAACTTTCCAAAACTCATGCCGTTTTAACCGAACAATTGACTACTTTGAAGTACGCTTTAACAAGACCAAACGTGCAATTTTTAATTTACGAAGTACATACTGTTTTACCGGCTGAAACAACTAAAATGGTACAGCAAGTTGTAGATTATGCTAATCAATTAGCTACGGAAAAATATATTCATGAATGTTTGGTAAGAATTTGTCGAATTTTATTTTAAATATTTAATAAATAACATCACGTTATTGATACTTTATAATAAGTCTTTAATTTAATTAGCCGAAGAAAAAAATTGTATTGAAAGAAAAACAAGGACAGAATAATATAACTAAAATGTCAACTAAGCAATTCTTACGAGGTAAAAATCATTCGAAGGATGAAGAACAATTTAAGGAAACTTCTATTACTGACTCCTGTCACGCAGACAAAGTAAATCAACACGAAGAGGACGAGATACTATCTTCTAAGACATATTGTAATATCAATGTAAGACCTTGTCTTTTCTTTCTTAAAAATAATTTTTCTATTAAATATTATTTATTGAAATATTCATTAACATTTTGTTCTAATTGATTAGAACTTATATTGTTAGATACTTATTGGTAATGCACCTATTATTTTTTTATTTGACCACATAATTAATAAACCATAAATTTATATATTTATTTTAAATATTTAATTTTTTTTATTAAAACTTATATATATATATATATATATTATTATATATTTATGATGTTTTATGTTCATATTATATAGGTACCGAAAAGTGATTTATTCGAAGTTCGAAGTTTCGACGAAATTTATGGTAGGAATAGTACTAAGATCTTAGAACCAGGATGTTTTATGGCTGTAATCAAGCGAAAAGAAATGATGCAGTTCGATTCTTTGTTTATGATCAAAGTAGCAGAATCTAAGGGCCTTTTTGGTGACACGAATAAGGAACAAAGTACGTCGAAACCGATCGTAACGGCAACCCAACCGATAATTGTACCTGCTCAGCGTGTTAAACGTAAGGTATGTTGACCTAAAAAATAAGAATTAACTATATTACGTATTAAGTTACTAACCCTTAATAATTTGAAATGGAAAAAATTTGATATTGACTGGTAGAAGTTCGAAGGATGTTCGAATGATTCCTAGTTAATAATAAAAAAAAAAAAAAAGTAAAAATTAAAAGAAAAGTACGAAAGAAAACAAAATTCATATTTATATGTGTGTCACAGATCGACATCTATCGATTAATGATGCCAACGCATTCTTCGATTCAACGACACGCAAGAAAATCGTGTTCTCGATTCATACGACATTTCATGCATTGTGAAAATTATTCTTCGTTACGAGCACGAAACATTAAAAAAAAGGACATTCGTCGATGGTGGAAAGAAGCTATAGAGTATTTCCTTCGTTCGGAACATGCGCAGATATCTTCGGAATTTCGCGCCATGCGAACCGATCCGTTCACACGTAGATTTCTTTATCCTTCGCGTAAAAGAAAGCTTGTTTTATCTAGATCAAAGAATGATCGTGATTTAATGACAGTTCCTAAGAAACGTAATATGCTTTTTTTCATGCGTTCTCATTTCTTTCGTAAAAGAAAATTACTTTCGTTGATATCATAATGATGAAATCATGTGTGCAGATCACACACGTTAGAAGTGAAATAATATGAGCCCTCGCTTCGTAGTATGCAATCATACACAAACACACACATATACAAAGGTTAGAAGCCAGGAGTGGGGACTACGAAGCACCTTACAAAGAGGAGACCGAGAATAGACGAAATTGTATAGCTATATTGTGTCTCATTCTCTCGCAGGCTGAATCTTATATGTTTATCTCTTTTTCTCTTCTTACTAACGTAGCCGTTCTTTTCGTTTCATCGAATTTATTTGTTTTGTTTATCGTTACCTGTCGCTTTTTCGTTGCATTTTTTTTTAACTCACTTCCATTTTAAGGAAATTTTCACTTCAAAAAAAAAAATTATTTATAATACACGAGAGGTAGCTTATATTTCCAATTCGTTTATTACCTAACCGGTAGTCCCTCAATAGCTCAAGCGGTAGAGAGCCACGCTTGACTCCCTTACGACTACCAGCATCGGCAGATCGAGTCCCCATGGTTCAGCTATACTTCGCTCGCCATAGCACTCATCTCCTCGTTACGACTTACCTAGCATCGGCAGATCGAGTCCCTCATGGTTACACACAGAGCTCTACAATTCGCTCGCCATGACACTCATCTCCTCATCAAAGCGTTAGCTCGTTACGCTGCATACACACACTACATTGGTGCAAATAACGAGTATCATCAAAGCCTAACGGGCCAGGCCTCAGCAACAAAACAAGCGACGTTAACGATTCGTCCACAAAGGGAGGGGGGATGGCACCCACGTGCCATCCTTTTTTTTCCATTTAAAAAGATAACTTTAATTTCTATTTAACAACAAAATTGTCACATCAATTGTTTCGTTACTGAGGCCGGGCCGTTAGCTTCGATGATACTCGTTATTTGCACTAATTTAATGTGTAACATAATCTTTTTGATTAAATATACATTTTATAAATTTTAAACAATAGACGTCCGGTACGACTTGCGATATCCTTGCAAAACCTTTGGATTCCTTTCTTCGATCATTTCAAAAGTTTCAATCGATTGCTGAGATTTCAAAAAGTTTAAACGATAATAAAGGACAGGTGGAAAATTTGAAAGATAAACGAATATCCTCAACTTTTACTTACATTAAGGATAAAGCAATACCTCGCATATATCAAAAGGTAATAAAATTATATGAAATTTCCTTTCTAATTATTTTTACTTTCAATCAATCGTCGAAACAGGTCTCTAGTAAAGTGTTTTTATCAAACAACGTCAAAAGCAATACTTTACGACAGAGATCAATAAAACAAGGAAGATCCGATATATTCGATATTTTACAAGTATCAGAAAAAAACGTTATGGATGAATTGAATTCTTCTAATAACCAACATGATGCTGTTTTATCAAAAAAGTACATTATATAATACAAAAATATACAGGGTAATTTACCAGCTCTTGCCACGTAAATAGCTGGTAAATTACCCTGTATATGCACGATAATACTTTTAGAATTGGTGAAATAAATATAATAATGTCGAAATTTGAAATATTTTATATGGATTAATAAATATTAGAAGTTTTTATAATACAAATTCTAACGTTATATTTAATAGTATATTATATAATATTTTATGATATATTCCTTTCGTTACTAATGACTCAAATACGGATCGTCCATGCAAAAATTCATGTATAATGAAATTCATTTGTGCAAAATCGTTTCAACACTTAAATCGTGTGTTGCATACAAAATATTGAAAATATCGACATAACTTATTTATTCATTTAACCATTTCAATATTGAACAATTTTTATCATCATAGGCAAGAAATTAGAGACAAGGAATCACAAAGATTTTTATCGAGCACTGCATTAAGAAAATCTGCATTGATTAGGGCAACCCAACGTACGTCTTTTGATAATGTTTTTATAGAACACGATAAACGGTATCAACAAACTTATACAAATCTTGAAAGAAGTTTTAAACGTTATCATCATTCGAATTCTATTAGAAATCTATGGCAAATTCCATTAAAAAGTCCTTTAGAAACTGTCCTTGAAGACATAACCGAAATTCCTTATTTTTCTCACGATAATACGATGTCACAACATAATTAATCGAATATTGAACATATTTTAAAATAATAATAGTAACACCAACAATAATATGTAGTTATAGATTGATATTATTTAAACAGAATATTGTTACTTCCGTAATATATAATTATTATAAGTAAAAATGCATATAAACAAACATATGCGTTATAATAAGTTGCTAAAAATATTTAGTTAAATAATACTTTTTGATTATCTAATTGTTTTTAAGTAGTATATTATAACTGTTGTCATTATATCATTTATAAATAAATAAATTCTAGGATTAGGATGCAATCGTTAATGAAATTGTTTTATTTTATAAGCTGAAAAAAGATTAGCTTTTATAATTTTTTGTTACAGATTTTCCATAACTTATTCATGCTTAATATCCTATTTAATGTATATAAATAATATAAAATAGTGATTTACTTGTTACGAAATAATCATTACTTAAATTAATATTAAAAGTACCAAAAATGAAATATAATAAATGGATTAATGAATAATTATTTTTTACTATATAATTTCGATTATAAATTGGAAAAAAAGTGGGCTATATCATTAAGATATTGAGGCGATATTACATACACGATAAATGTGTATCAAATACCATACAAAAAGGATCATAATAATTTCATAAATAAGTATATCAATTGACCAAGGAAAATAATTGTTGATAAAAAGGACAATATCGTATGCGAAATTTATCGAAGAGATTCTAAAAGTACAACAATCGATTGATGGTAAAAAAATATTCCATAAATATATGCAACATTTTATAATAAATACTATGATATTATTGCAAACAAAATTTCGAATAAGTTCATAAATTCGGCAACAGATGTTGTTAGTAGTACGAAGAAAAAGCATGGCGACGCATTGAATTCGCCATAATTGAATCTTATTATTAGAAAGAAAAATAAGAATAAGTATCAATGAACCAATTGTAAACTCATTTCGATATCCTTTTTTGTGGATGATATTTTGTTGTTTATCTGGATAAAAATATTCGATCTCTGATATTAAATACTTCCATAATGTTGAACGATCGAAATCGATGATCTGACGATCGAGATCAAGTTCGGCCAATTTTTGAAGAGTTCTTTGAATTCTTTCTGATTCAGCACATCTTTTAAATTCGTCTGCCAAAGTGACGATCATTCCATCTTTGATTCGACATTTGCTTTGAAGAATCTTTAACATTGCGACGAGATCGTTTGTAATTTTGTTACTTTTATCTTCTTCATGCTTTTGTTGGATTATATTTTCATTGTTATTAACATCATACTGCTTGAAATAAGACGAAGTAAATGTACAGTTTGTTTCTTGCCTCATCGGATCAATCAAAATACATTTCCGATTTTTCAATAATTTCCTCAATATGTGGTTACGATTCTTTAATTTTTCCAATGCTTCTCGTAACTTGCCAATTCTACAATACTACAAATAAAAATAATACATAATATTGCAATAAGAAAAATGAAACATTGCACAAATATATTTTTTAATATTTATAGTTTCCGTTTCTTTTTTTTTTGTGTGTGTTTTATTTTTTCCCGTGAAAAATTCATATTATCGTTACTTGACTAATTTCTGGCAATTCCAAACAAGTTGTATTGTTTAATAACAAGTCATCTTCCTGATCAATGTCGGAAAAAGAATAAATTTCTTCTTCGTGTCTTTTATAACAAGGAGGTTTGTTACCGTGTTTGTTACGAAGCGCACATAAATCACATCCGCAGGTACATTGATTCGATAAATTTTCAATCGTTATTGATTCGGAATCAGATTTGCCTCCACCGCCTCTTTCTCTTTCTATTAATTCTTTCGTGTTAGTTTTTGTTGACCTATTAAAATGCAATTTTGGATCGATCGTCGATAACACAACAGTATCCTCCATATCATTGTCCTCATAAAGCATACATAAATTACACAAATGAGGTGACTCGCAATACCTAATTAGTTCATTTAAATTATTAAAATGATTATCATCAACTTCATCTTCAATTGTAACGTTATCATCGATATAAGAGTTATCAATATCTTTTATTAAATGATCAAAGTCAAATGGTTCGTCATATTTATTACATCTATAAAACAATTTCAAAGAAAAATAGATATTATTGAATAAAAAAAATATAGAAAATATTGTTAGATATTATAAATGAATAATTATACCTCGAAATTAAATACTTGCAAACCGTATTACAATCATGTCGTGGAACGCTGTGTTGGCAACAGTCATCGCAGAAATTTGTACAATTACAAAATTCTTCGTTTTGCATGATCGATGATTTTGTAGAATCTTCAACGTTGTCTTCATCGTCTTTTCTTAAATCATTTTCCCAAACTGCACAACTGCAGGCTTTATCTTCACTATTCTGCGAGATTAGTTGTTAGAGTAGAAAATATCTATCATAAATTACAAGATAAAAAGAATTAATTGTGAAAAATAACCGTAGTTTTATAACGATTCTGTAGAGCTTCTCCTTTTTCAAATTTGTTCAAAAGACATTTGGCTTCTCGAGAAAGTATAATTCGTTCCTTTTGAAGATTACGTAAATCTGAACAAATTTTTCTACCCATGCTCTCCAACTTAGAAACTCTTTCTTTTATATCATAATCCAGGTTCATTTTGATATTTTGATGTTTTTTTCCTTTTTTTTAATTTTCTTTTATATTTAATTTTTTATGCAAAAAACATCTTTTCATATAAGTATTCCAAATAAGAGGTTAGTATAATTTTGAGGGGTTAACAAGCTAGAACAAATTTCAAATGTCCAAAAGTAAACTAAAACATGAAGTTGTTGTTTTTGCTATTTATAATAACTTCGTGTTATTTGTTCATATTTGTTTTTTGCACAATAATTATATTTGATTTCATTGTCTTTCAATTAAAACTCTTAATTAGGTACACATATTGATAAATATGGAAAATAAAAAAAAACTTTGGAAATATGCAAAGAAGATTATAATATAAATTTTTCAAAATAATTTTACTAATTAAATATAATGTGTATGTGTATGTATTATTAAATTTTTCCAAATTTTACTGCATTGATCGCAAAACAGTAAAGTATGAGATCGATGTACGAACGATCTTTAACAAAAAAGATCAAGTTAGAATTATAAAAAAACAATTTTTTTTTTAAATAAAATTTACAAAAAATAATCATTCTTACAGAACTAAATGTTTCCATTGATATGTTAAACATTTTAGCGGCAGTTAGCATACAAGGTACTCGTGATCTCATTAACATAAAATAAATTTCTTTTCTTGTTGGTAAAGATGTTTGATACCATTTGAAATTTATTCTGTAACCGATGAAAATAAATTATAAAGTAAATATGCGAAACGATTTTAAAAAACATCTAATTTGAAAAAAGAAAAAAATTGGATCTATTCACAGATACTCATGCATTTGATTACTATGATCGATAAGTCGTTGACCATTCACACATTCAAATAAAATATGAATTAACGTCGTATAACAAACACACATTTGTTGAAAAAACTGTTTGGGTTCATTGACATTTAGAATGGCCTATATTCAAATAAAATTAATATAAATTACCACAATAATCACAAATATTTTAGAATAAGAAATGTTTTAGGGTGATTGCTTATAATTAAAAAGTACTAATAAATGAAGAAAATTTTCATTCCAAATATACCTGGAGACCAGTAACACTCATTCCAATCATGCTAAGTCCTGATTGAAGAAAAAATGATGTTGTGTAATATGATTCCAATAAATCAGCAAACCTTCATTAAAAAAATCAATAACTTAATAACATCAAATAATTATATCATTACCGCTTCTTAAATCT